TCGCCTCAACCCTGACTGTTCTGAGCTGCAGACTCATCAATCCAAAGCCCACTCAACACACCCACTTGCATGGTGAGCCCGGCTGGATGTCTAAGAGACATCTCATAATCAGGATGATGAAAGGCAAACTCAGTTTTTCCACAGAAACTGCTCATCACCTGATTTCCTAGTCATGCTAAAGGTAACAATATTTACCTGGTTGCTAGGGCCCCAACCTAGGAACCACCTTTGAGATCCACCCATACCTGCTCCCCCCTCCTCCGCCCTCAGCTCTCACACAGGCTGACTCTGACCATTTCCTGCCACCCCCTCAGCTCAGATTAGCCCTTTCCAATCTTGAACCAGGTCCCCACTTCCATCCCAAAGGCCCCCGGTAGCCCCATACACTTAGATTACACTCTAACCTGCTCACCTGAGCCCCAAAGCCTCATTTATCCTGCCCCCAGCCCGCTCCCCAACAACCCGAATTAAGACAGTCTCCACTATTCTCTGTGCTTCAGCCCCACCAGCCTTCCTTGGCTCCTCAAATATGCCAGTCACCCCACCTCCCATGAGAGGTGGTGCCACTCTGCCCCAGGCTGCAGGGGGGCTGGCACTTTTATCATTCAGTTCCCAGCTCAAATGTCAGCCCCTTTCTAAGTAAGTATCCTCCATCTCTATTCTGTTACCCTGTCCTTATTTCTTCTGCACATTTACCACCATTTGAAGTGACCTGTTTATTTGCTGTGTCTTCCCCAAACAAGCATATCATTACATAAAAATAGAGCGTTCTCTGTCTCACTCACTTAAGCCAAGTAGAGAGTGGGCTCTCCATGCCCGATCCCATTTTGTGGATGAAGAAACTGAGTCTGAAGGAAATCAAGCAAATTGATCCAGCGTCTCATAGGAGTCACGCCAAGGCCAGGGCGGGAACCCACAGCTGGCCAACGCCATACCCCATGTCCTTGGCTTGCTGCATACACTGCCCATGTCCAGCTTTGGGGTCTGAAAAAGATGGTTCCCTACCCCATGAGGCAGACCCACTAGATTTAAATTTGATGAGATAAAAGCCAGCATTATCCTGGGTTCTTTTGAGTTCTATATCTTGATTTCTACATCTTCAGTTCCTCTGAAATCTTAAGAATAAACTAAAATGCTCATTGTGATTGTATTCCTTGGACCCCGAAATGAAGCAGAAGAAATTCCCAGATATCCAGATGTTACCCAAGTCTGAGTACACTGCTCTGGCCCCCAGAAGGCTGGAAGGGGAGCAGCTGAAGCCGTTTCCGCCCAGTGCACACTCGGAGCGAACATCCCAGGATCCAGAAAGGCCATCTTAGGGGTCTTGGTCTCATCTAAACAATCAATTCCATGTTTCAATTATTTCTTTTAAAATGATTTAACGCCCTGGCCGGTTTGGCTCAGCGGTTAGAGCGTTGGCCCACGGAGTTCTGGGTTCGGTTCCCACTAAGGGCACATACTTCGGTTGCAGTTTGTCCCCGGCCCTGGTTGGGGTCGTGTGGGTGGCAGCCACTCGATGTATCTCTGTCACGTAGATGTTTTTCTCTCTCTCTCTCTCTCCCTCTCGCTCTATCTAAAGATAAATACAAAAATGCCCTTGGGTGAGGATAAAAAAAATAAAAATAAATTTGGAAATAAAAAAAATAATTTAGCATTTTCTCACTTTTGATTATAATTCTCCACTCCACTGGATACTTTTTTTTTCAATTCCACTGAATTTTCTGTAAAATAGTCCATGTTCTTTCCTTAAAAATAGTCATTGTTTTTTTTGTTTGTTTGTTTTTGTTTTATCCTCACCCAAGGATATTTTTCCATTTTTTATACAGATAGAGTGGGAGGGAGAGAGAGGAAGGGAGAGAGAGCGAGAAACATCGACGTGAAGGGACACATCGAGTGGCTGCCACCCACACGACCAACCAGGGCCGGGGACAAACTGCAACCGAGGTACATGCCCTTAGCGGGAACCAAACCCGGGTCTCTCCGGACCGCAGGCCGACGCTCTAACCGCTGAGCCAAACTGGCCAGGGCGGAAATAGTCATTGTTTTTGTTCATAACTTTAAGATGAATGATACTATCTTTAAACCCTTCTAGCTGCTCACAGCGCAAACAGCCTCCTCGGGCATGGGCCTTCCACACTCAGCGGCCACGACCTACAGCTACAGAGAGACTGAGAACACTTTGTAACAGCTGTGTGAAATAAAGGCCATTCTAAACCAACATTCACCAACCACCTACTTTGTAGCTAGTACTGCACTGCGCACCTATCCTAGAAGCTGACATTTTAGTTGCACATCTGTCCTCATATCAGTGCCCTGACCCAGGGAAAGGACTCCCCCATCACGGAGGAGGGAACCAGCTCCGAGGTGAAACAGAAGGCCGCGGGCGATCTGACAGCACCGGGTCTCTTGTCTGAAGCCAGGCCCCAAGCAGTTTGCCACCCTGACAAAGGAAGGGGGCTGTTTATGACGTGGTGAGAAAGCGCCCAGCGACAGGACATGTACGTATGTATAAACTAGGTTGAGGCAGTTCCAATTCAGATAAAATAATCAAAACCACTTGTAACACTTTGAGTAAAGAAACAAACAAATCACCACGGTGGGTGAGGGCAGTTCTGTTGTTTGGAAGTCTCACCAGACCTACTGATTCTCAGTCTTCAGTGTGAGAAGAGGCTGGCCGGGCGCTGCATGGCCAACAGAGGGCTGTGCGTGCTGTACACGCAGTGTGGGGCTGGTAGACCTTTATGGGGCAGCACTAGAAAGGCACTGTCCACTGCACAGTCCCTGGAGTCAGAGTCGCTGGGCTGGGGTATCTACTGAGAGCTTGCTGGGAGCCAAGCACAGACACCTGTATGCATGCTAACCTCAAGTGGGGTAATGCAGGTACGACATCCAGCACAGCTCAGCTGCATGGTAGGTGTTCAAGAAATGCAGAGTGCTGGTTGCCCCCCAGCATCCATCTCCTGGTCCTCAGCAAGAGAACACTACACGTATTCAGGGCAGTGATGCGCCCAGCTAAAAGGCCACCGTGTCCACCTCCCTTGCAGCTGGGTGTGGCCTCGGGCCTCAGTTCTAGCAGAGTGATGTGGGCATCGGGATTGTATGGGACTTCTGGGAAGGCCACTTAACTAAGGAAGGTGACTCAGCGGGAGAGCTGCTTCGTCTCATCTCTGCTTCCTACGCTTGGAACTTTCATAGTAGAAGTCATTTTGGTGGCCTTGAGATGACCTTGCGGAAGGAAGGTGCTTGCTGAAGGTGGTGAGTCTAATTTAAGAGGCCAGCTTTCTGTTGTGACAGGCCACCTCAAATATTCTTTATGTCCAGAGGAATAAACTTTCATTCTATAGGAGTCATAGTTACTTTATTTTTTATCCTCACCCAAGGACTTTTTTTTTTTTTTTTTTGCATTTATCTTCAGACAGAACGGGAGGGAGAGAGGGAGATAGAGAGAAACATCGATGTCACATCGAGTGGTTGCCACCCACATGACCTCAACCAGGGCCAGGGACAAACTGCAACCGAGATACATGCCCTCAGCAGGAACCCAACCCGGGGACTCTCGGGTCCGCAGACTGACGCTCTAACCACTGAGCAAAACTAGCCAGAGAGAGTAATAGTTACTTTACAGTAGTAGTTCTCAAACTTTGGTGGCAAACAAAACCACCTGGGGTACTTGGTAAAAACACAAAGATCCAGGTCCTGTGCCCTTCAGGGAGCCTGGTCTCTGGGTGCCAGATGGAGCTGACGCCCCCTGCAGTCCAAGAACCAGTGCTTTAGACTTTTCAGTGCTAAGCTGCCCAACCTGACCTTACAGCTCCATTCTGGCGTCAACCGGACACTGATCACCTGGCAGTCAAAAGCAATTTCATAACATCCAATTTCATTTTACTTCTGCGTGAAGTAGAGATCAGATCCGAATGGCGTGGCCCATTGCCAAGATCATTCCCATCCATCCTTCTAGGACACGGCAGATGGCGGTGGGCACGCTGCCTGCTCACGGGCTGCCTTGGCCTTCCCTCCTGTTCCTTCCTGTCCTGCTCCTCGCACGGTGCCTGGGTGAAGCCACCAAGCTTTCTCCCTGGACGGTTCAGTCGGAGCCTGAGCACTGCCGTCACCCCCGCCTGCGTGAGGGCCGCAGCCTCCTTCCGTTCACTTCCTTGCCTTGGTGAGCAAGGACCGGCTGGGGGACAGCTGGGGACCCGCTGCTCTCGAGCTGCGGTCACTGAGGCTTTGCTGTGCACTCGCCCTTCTTGCAAGCTAAGCCCCGTAGTGAGGGCTCAGGGTCGCGGACAACATTCGGAGCCACCTCCTCCCATCCACAGGTTACTGGTTCGAAGTCAGAGTTTTTCGAAACAGAGTTCTCTGGACAGCTAGTTGTCTGTCTGCTCTGCTAACCAGTGACCTCTTTTCTCTACTTGAAGTACAAAAGGACAAGCATGTGCTCTTTCCTTCTCTCTTCCAAAGCACATTACTTTTCTTTTCCTTTTTGCTGGAGAACAATACTGGGCATGTGGGATGTGGGAAAAAAAGTTTACACCCTACTATCTCGGCATAAAAACTGGTCTGGGTCCACCTGGACATACATTAGCATCATTCTTAAAAATGCCATTTGTTGAGTTCAGAGAGTAATTATAAATATATGACTTTCTGTAATCTGGCTCTGTCTTTATACTCAGTTCCTGAGACTGAACCACCCACGCCTGTCTGTTCTGGGTGAAAGCCGCTAACAAGCAGGTAATGCCCTTTTGGATGCCAGCTTTGGAGGGGAGTCCCAGAGACAAAAGCTCAGATGAATCATTCACCACACCCTCACCTATCCCTGGAGGTACCCCGGCGCCAGGTGCCCCAGCGAGAAGACCCTGGGGCTCTAGACGGAGTTGAGGACAGTCGCAGGGCCCGTGGGGGAACAGAGCTGTCTCCTGTGTGCTGCAGGTCCACACACACGGGAGGGAGCCAGGCGGGCATCTGCCCCAGAAAGAAACCACCCAACACCAGGAACTCACTTCTTATTTATTTCTGGTAATGAGCGGAGTTCGATGAGCCACCTCCTCCCCCTCGGATGGCGTGAACGGCTGTTGGAGATGATGCTGGGTAGTGTCCAGGGCGGATGGGCTTGGCTGTATCCAACCAACAGAAAGGAAAGAAAAGACATTCAGAAAGAGCTTAAACAGTCACACCCAGGTACCTTCAGGCCATGTGTGGAAACCAAGAGGCACAGTTCTTGTCAACATAACAGTTCTCAACCACTAGTTTCTGAAAGCAGGAGGCTTGCCTTCTGGTACAGTTAGAAGAGAGAAAGAAATTATGTATCAATTATTTTCATTCAGACTGAGGAAAATTAGAAACAAAGACCTTTCAGTTCTACTCTGAGGTGATCCATGGATTCCAAGGGCATCTGTGTAGCTCCTGAACTTGGATGCCGAATTCTGCCTGTGATGCATTTTTCTGGGGAGAGGGGCCATAGTTTTAAGTAGATTTTCAAAGGGTATAAAATCCAATAAATGCAAAGGGTGAAAAATCCAATGAGCCACTAATCTAAAGTATAATTTAAAACTAGACACTTGAGGTTGCTGGTTTACAAAACCTCTGCACAGCACTGTCTGGTGGGCAAATACTACGTGCTGTTGGAGATGTTCCAGGTTGCAGAAAGCCCTCTAGAGAACATCCTTGCATCCCTTTCCTCCTACAGCTCTATCCTGGGAACATGACTTAGCAGCTACAGTCTCCCTGCAAGGGCACGAGGCCCCATCCAGTCTTAAAGGGGCTGGACGTCCAGGCCCTTCCCCCGTTTGGAACCACGAGCTCACCGACACCAGGCCTGGAAGCCAGGACACTTCCAGACCTGCAGGCAGCTTTCGTCGAGGTTCCACCTGGTGTGGGACAGAGGGGCCGCCAGGCCTTGCTGAGAAACAGCTGTGTATTTCTGTGTCTCTGACAGTGTGTGCCTGTTCACGCCCAACACCTTCGCCTACAACTCGGCCAGCTGGCCTCGCTGCCCAGCTCAGCAGCTTTGAAGACCGCAACGTATGCTGGAATCTCTCAGTGTAAGGGAACGGGTGCAGACGTTCCCATTCTCCCAGGATGGGTGCGGGGTGCTGGGAGGCGCCTGGCCTACGTCCTGCAAGACTGACCCCAGCCTTCGGCATGTGTCAGAGCAACCACCCAGGTGGAGCACTCGCCGTTCAGCAGGGGCCTGGGCGAGAGGGCACATACCAATCTGGGCGGAGTGGGCCCTCCGGGCCATGTTCTTGGCCCGCACGGCCTCCTTGATGCGATCCACCTCCTGCTGGTAGCGCTTGCGGTCCCGCATGGCGTTCTCCTTGGCCTCCTTCAGGGCGCTCTCCAGGGCCTTGACGCGCTCCGCCGTGGCGCGCAGCCGCTTCTCCAGCTTGGGCAGCTCACAGCGCAGGTCTGCGTTGTCCCGGACCAGCTGGGGCGGAGGGGAAGGTGGGAGTTACCAGGGGGCAGTGGGGCCGGAGCAGGAGCAGATCCACCTCGGGGGACAAAGAATGCAACCGGAAAGCAGCCAGAAGCAGACTCTGCAGCTGCTGACCATCCCCTGCCCGGTGTAAAGCCCTTGTGACCATACACTCGGGAAGAGCGAAGGAAGATAAAAATCTCATGCGCGGGCTCCAGTTTGCTAAAGGCATGCTTCACAGGTGCGAGGAAGGGAGGCGGTCCAATTAAAGGCAGTTCCCAGCACCTGAAACTTTCAGGCATGGGCAGGATTTCCTTCCTCTGCCCTGAGTGGGTGGGGAATGGTGTGCGTAAGGCCTAGGTGCTGGGGAGGAGGCGGTGCTCTGGGGAAGGCGGAGCTCGGGGAAGGCGGTGCTCCGGGGAAGGCGGAGCTTGGGGAAGGCGGAGCTCGGGGAAGGCGGAGCTCGGGGAAGGCGGTACCCAGGAGCTCACCGAAGACCTCCTCCCACCAGGCCGGGCTGTCTGCAGCAGCAGGTGGCTGGGACCCCGCTCTGCAACACCCCCAGAGGACACGCAGTACCTCGGGGCCTGCTCATGCCTTCACCTCCTACGATCCCTGCTAAGAAGCAACAAGCTCACCCTGGGTCAGGAGTGGGCCCGGCTCTGATATTTTCTGGCTGTCTGACTTGTTGTAAGTCATTTGACCACTAGGGTTTCTCATCTATAAAAAGGACATGATAGGACCAATGCAAGAACCCAAGGGGATAAACAAGGTTCTGAAAATCAGAACGTGCCACACGAAGGCTGAACTGTTGCTGGGTCCACACCAGCGTTCCTTACCCGTGTACCCCCAGAACCAGTTCCGGTGCCTGGCAGAGAGCAGGGTCTTAGGAAACACTCACTGAATTCATAAATAATTGATGAATGTCAGAGCCCTATTTCCTGACACTTCTTACTTTATATTTCTCATCAACAATGTGTTTGAATGGCGTCAACCATGCTGCATCTGTGGTCCTCCCTCTGGGGCAAACTGCCATCGTCAATAACAGTGAAGAGGATGGAACAAGCCCAAGACAAGCCCAAGACAGATGCCATCCCCTCGGCCATGCTGGCCCTTCAAGATGGACCATTTCCATCAAATCCCAGATCTTTAGGATTTAGAGATAACAGTCATGAACATTCCAGCATTCTAACAGAAAGGAGACAAATAACCCACCTAAAGCACTATTGGTTTGGACATGGTCATCGCTCTTTATGACTCTGGACAGAATCCAGTGCATCACAAGAACCTGAGAGGGTGCCCAGGACACAGAGCAAGAGTAGGAGTGGCCGGAGCTGCTCCCATTCTCCCGCCCAGGCCCAGTCCGCTTCCTCGACTGTAAAGCCAGGGGCCTGAACCCGCTGGGCGGTGTCCACTCTGCCTTCTGTGGAGCCTTTGAGTCCACAGAGGAGCCCCAGCAGCAGCGTGGGAGACACCAAAGCCCGTTGTGGCAGAAAAGACAGAACTCTGACCTCCACTCCCCAAACTGCAGAGAGCTCAAACAACTCCTCACATCGGCACTGATGACATACATCTTTTACACGTTAAGGGAAGACACGGACGACGACAGGATTCAAGGGCCGCTGTGGCTCTTCTGTTGCCGAGCCTTCTGCCTGCACTGGGCTAGTCCAGCGGGGCTCCCGTCCAGGAGAGAGAGGGGCAGTGGAAATGGGCGCAACTCCTACCTGTTTGTGAACCTTCGTGAGCTGCTCCAGGTTGTTCTCCAGGAAGGAGATTTTCTGCTTCTGGGCAGCGCTGCCCCCGCCATCGTCGCTGTCCAGCTCCACGCTCTGCAGCAACACCAGGGTCAGGAGACAAGCCCACGCGCCCACCCTCAGCCCAGCCTAGCGTGCATGCTACATTCTAGATCTTCCTCTTGAAAAACTCCCAATTCCACTAAAGGTTATTCTGAAAATGAAAATAAACAGGGGTTCTAAAAGTTTAGAGTCAACAACCTCCTCCAAATGAGTTATTTGGTTTATGTCAAAAGTGTTAGAAGTGTTATTTTTTATCGGGCAAAACCAAAAAATTCCAAGTCTTCTTTTGAAGGAAAGAGATTAGTTTTCTTTGTGACATATACCTCTCCCTTGCAGGTAGATAAATACTTTTCTCTTCAAAAGGAAGTGTCTCAAAACTCATCGAGAAGAGCCAGTGTGAAAACATAAACCCAAGACCTAATGTTCATTTCAAACATCACCACTGGGGCAAGTCACCCAGCTGTGGGCAGGTGTCTGTGCTCAGTGGGAAGCCTCAGCAGCCTCTGCTGGTCCCCTCGGCTCCCACTTCCATAAAAGTCCCTAATGAATTCATCTCAAACTACTCAAAGCAGCATCCAAGTGCTGTGCTGCGTAAATTCTCAAATGTATCAGAACTTGAGATTGGCACAAACAGTGTCCTCTGGGCAGCGCCAGGCTGAGCGGCCGGCCAGGTTAGGAGATACACGTGCAAACACGAAAAGGGGAGAGCGGACTTGCTTTGTCTGATTACGAAGAGGTACTTGCTGTGTGAGCATCTGAAACCTGGGTGCCCTCAGTCTAAAACTGAGGTTCCCAGACTTCCCTAGAGCAGGATTTATGAGAACCCAGATTGCTGTGCCCCACTCAAGTCTCTGAGTCAGTAGATCTCAGGTGGGTCTGAGAAGCGAGAGATCCAGCAAGTTCCCAGGTGACACTACACTGCCAGCCAGAAGACCACACTTGGAGAACCTGGTCCTTCCTGGAGTTTTATTTTATTTTATTTTTTTTATCATCCGCACCAGAAGACATTTTTCCATTTGACAGAGTGGGAGGGAGGGAGAGAGAGAGAGAAACATTGACGTGAAAGGGACACATCGAGTGGCTGCCACCCGCACGACCAACCAGGGCTGAGGACAAACTGCAACCGAGGTACGTGCCCTTAGCGGGAACTGAACCCGGGTCTCTCTGGACCGCAGGCCGATGCTCTAACCACTGAGCCAAACCGGCCAGGGCCTTCCTGGAGTTTTATATCATGAAATCAGGGAAGTCTGATCTCAAGCTCCTCACTCCCCCTCAGAATACCTCCTCCCTCAAACCGAGACTCTTCAGTTCTTGTCACGACCTCTCTCTCCATCACCTCTTCTCTGACCTCTCTCGCACCTGGTCCAGGTCCTATGGCCATTTCTAGTTTGATGATTGTGGTCACTACCTGCCTGTCTGACCATTGCCATTCAGGCCTTGAAATCTTCCATCATCCTCTGGCCCTTTTCCTTTTTTTTTTACCTTTTTTTTCCTTTATTGATTTTCAGAGAAAGGAAGGGAGAGGGAGAGAGAGGCAGTAACATTGATGAGAGAGAACATCGACTGGCCACCTCCTGCATGCCCCCCACTGGGGATTTGGCCCACAACCTGGGCATGTGCCCTGATGGGGAACTGAACTAGCAACCTCTTGGTGCATGGGTGGATGCTCAACCACTGAGCCACACCGGCCGCGTGAGCCCTTTTTCTTTATTTTTGTGTCTAGGCTTCCAATCTCGCCAGGGGTCATGGCAAACCCATGCTCTGACCCCCAGCTGGACACTCACACCACTGCCCCGCAGTCCTTTCACTCATCCCTAGCCAATTCCCCACAGCAGCCTGAGCCTTCTCTCGTCTCCCTGGGCTCCGCTTTCTCCCTCTTCTGCACTGAGGATGGAGCCTCCACATTCAGAGACCACAGTGGTCAGCTGCTTCTCCTCCTACTGTTACTGTTTCCCTGCAACGTCTCCATCTTGGCTTCTCACTTCTCTCTGGGAAAATGCACCCTTCCCCCTTCCTAACATATCCATCTATGCTAATAATTCTCACTCTATCAATAACCTGCTCTTTTAGCATTTCCCTTCTTTCCTTTGGCTCCTTCGCACAGACACACATGCACATATAAGGGCACACATGTGCACACACACATGCATGCACACACTTTTTGTACAGCTTTCTTCCATCCTGCTCTGCCTCGGGATAGGGCCCATGGCCCCGTCTGTCGCTTTTACACATCTTAAAGTGCTGCTTCCACTCTCCTGTCTCCTTAAACCTCTTCAAGCTGCTTGTGGGGCTCTCCGTAAGGCGACTCCCCGAGATCAGTATGTGGCATGAGGACCAAAGGAGCTCCGGTTCAGGAGGCACACAGACCTGCCTTCCAGTCCTGTCTCTGGCTCTCCCTGGGCTAAGGTATTTAACCTCTGAGCCTATCTCCACAGCTGCAACACAGAACCCTGAGAACCACTCACATGTGTCCTGGGAAGATCACCAGGCGCCAGGCAGTTAAAGTGCTTCATGCACTCCGGCCTCCTAGCAGGCAAACCGGGGCTCCCTCCTCTGCCTTTTCCAGGCACCTACCACTCTCACCAGGCTTCGGGGCCACGCTGTCCAAGACCCCTCTGGACTGACCCTGCAGCATGCACACTGGCTTCTCACTACAGCCGGGTAAATACGTGTTCGCTTGAAATGAAGGCCAAGGAAAGGATTATAACTTCCTTTTACTAAGAAGGAAAAATCAGACGGCAACATGTTCCCAAGTAATTGTTGCCTCTAGCACATTCTTTTAATAACATCCACGGCTATGCAGTAATTAATGTTCAAGCATAGCCAGCCCCAACTTAAGCAACTGATATTTCATGTGAAAGGATTCTTTCTGGCCATTTTCTCTGCTCAGTCCCATGCACCCAAACAGAACTCACCTTCTTAACCCGGGCGGTCAGATCCTGGACGAAGAGTTTGCGGAGGTTGTGCAGGGTCTGCAGTTCCCGAGACTGGAAGAGAAGGTTGTGAAGACGCCACGTAAGTGGGGGACACGTGGATTCACAGCACATCTGGCACTAGCCACCTGCTCTGCAAGCCCATGGTCAAGGCCATGGTGTCCCCACACAGGTCCCCCAGTGACCTGGCCTCAGCTCAGCCGCACCCCAAGGTGCAGGGCCTGGGAGCGCACAGCAAACTGCTGACTAGAACAAAGCCTGTTGTTTGCTGTGTTCTAAGCACAACCTTGGTTTCCTCTTCAACCGCAAACATTCAGAAGTTGTCTCACCGTGAGTCCTAGGGGCTATGTCACCAGAACACAATGTTTTTTCCTCTAATTTCTCACTCACTCTCCCTCCCTCTTTCTCTCTCTTTTTTTTTTTGTCCTTACCCATGGATAGAGCGAGGGGGAGAGAGGAAGGAAGAGAGAGAGAGAGAGACATATCGACTGGTTGCCACCCACACGACCCCTACCGGGGCTGGGGACAAACTGCAACCAAGGTACGTGCCCTTAGCGGGAACTGAACCCAGGACTCTCTGGTCCACATGCCAACGCTCTAACCACTGAGCCAAACCGGCCAGAGCTTCCTGTAATTTCTCACAAGCACATTCTATACAATGTCAACAAGGTTAATGAAGTCAGCTGCCGATTCTCCTTCCCTCACTGGTCTGTTCTCATGTTTGCACGTCCCTAGCCTGACCCGCAGGTCTGTTTGCACCCTGAGTGTATGGGGGAGGCAGCTCATCACCACCCAGGTGATCCTGGGCAACTGCCCTAACCTTTCTGTGCCTCAGTTTCTTATTTATAATGTGAGGACAAAAACAGTAGCTGCCCCACAGTTGTTGTGGTCAAGACGCAACGAGATGAGCTTTACAGACCTCTCAAACAGTGCTGGCACACAGTTGTGGTCAAGACGCAACGAGATGGGCTTTACAGACCTCTCAAACAGTGCTGGCACACAGTTGTGGTCAAGACGCAACGAGATGGGCATTACAGACCTCTCAAACAGTGCTGGCACACAGTTGTGGTCAAGACGCAACGAGATGGGCTTTACAGACCTCTCAAACAGTGCTGGCACACAGCACGCGCCCAGCAACCAGCAGCTAGTACTGGTGTGTGCGGCATCACACCCGGCAGCCCTGTCCTCGCCAGGCTGTCCGTTTCCTGTGTGCTGTGGGGGCTGTAAACGTTCGCTGTAACCCACTTCTTAGGGGCAGTTTTTCTTCATTTTGGATTATTTTCTACAAATGGACCCTCAGGAATTAGACTGCTGAGACAAGGGTCTGAATCAAACCTGGTGATCTTTGTTAAAAGGATCAGAAAACCGCCCTGGCCGGTTTGGCTCAGTGGTTAGAGCATCAGCCTGCCGTCCAGAGAGATCCGGGTTTGGTTCCTGCTAAGGGCGTGTTCCTTAGTTGCAGTTTGTCCCCGGCCCTGGTTGGTCATGCGAGAGGCAGCCACTCGTTGTGTCCCTTCCACATTGATGTTTCTCTCTCTCTCTTCCTCTCTCTCCCTCCCACTCTATCTGAACAAAAAATGGAAAAATGTCCTCCGGTGAGGATAAAAAAAAGATCAGAAAATCAAAATACTTACTTCTATTCAAGTCTCCGTGTATTACAATTAGTTCCTTGCAAAATATTTTCCCATAAGGGAGGAGAAGAAAGATAAACGCATTTATACTTTTCAGTCTGTCTAAGTTGACCTACTTTGGCACAAAATGTCAAGGCATGAAGCTCATTCATGCTCACAGGACAAAGGGAGACACCAGCTGCAGCGCTATGGAAACGCTACATTTCTCAGAATAAAGGTCTGTGTTAATTTCGGTCTTGTAACTAGGTCCAATTCTGCCATTCTTTCTGGAACTAAGAAGCACCTAAAGTCAACCACTTCCTTCAGTGAAGCAAATTACTTTCTGCGGGAAGCCAAACGGTCTGTTATTACGAAGACTGAGCACCTCGTACCTCTGCAAGGCCTGGCCACCTTCCCGGGGAGGCTCCCATTTCTGCAGACACGCTCTCCCCCGCCCCCGCCGGAGGGAGCTCAGCCCCCAACCCCGTCCTGCATGCTCTCCCTCCCACGCCAGGGATCTCATTACTGATTGAACGTCATCCCAGTAAACGTTTCCCACGGAAAACGCCACCATGCCAAAGAGAAGTGAGAAGAGAAGTCACAGTGTCTGGTCAAAGGGCCAGGCATTTCCATGGGCATAAGTACCAGGAATCTAGAATCCTGGGTTTGGTGACTTTCCCTCATGTTTGTTTTTGGGTGAATTCGACAATTTGGGAGGAGCAGCTAAAGACCTTCAAACTCATTTAGAAGTCAGGCTCATGCACATTTATGCCTCGGCAACTATCACTTGGCTTCCGGGGCAACAGGTTCCCCTCCGTCCTCTTCAGTATCATTCCCCACCTCACCCGACCTGCCCTCCTCGGCTTCCCAGCCCAGGCCACCGCCGTCTGTGTAGGGCTCGGGGCGCAGCTTCCTGTCACAGTGGACAGTGAGGTGGGACTGAGAGGTGGACACAGGAGGCCCATCAACACGCGGGGGGAGGGCCCAGCCCGAGCCCAGAGTGTCCTGTTACAGCAAGATGGGCCCCTCCAAGGCAGCCCCCACAGCGGCTCCCCGAGCCCCACCCTGGACAAGGTCCCGCCCCGCCCTCAAGACAGAACAGGCCGCGAGCTAAGGAGGCTCCAGGACACGAGCCTGTTTCCAAAGGACATTCACGGCTTGGGGAAGATTACGCTGGAAAGTGAAGACTGAAATGGCAGGCGCTGTGGGTTCCAAGCCCAGGTTTAAAAAGCATACGTGTGCAACGGGAGTGGCGAGTGAGAGCAAGTGGGAGCCAGAGTGTCCGCGGGCGTCTGAGTGTGTGCCGGGCAGTGGGGGTGGGGAGCCGCTGGGCGAGAACCGCGAAGGGTGTGAGGCCAGGGAGGAAAAGATGTTAAAAAATGTGTTCACACATCAATCAGAAAGGCAAACGGATACGCTCAGGAGAGAGTATAAAAGAGGACGCACGAGTGTGACAGTGGAGTGTGCAGGTGTGAGCTGAGGTGAGCGAGTGTGGAAGCGAATGCGTGACAATGACATCCCAGCGGTGAGTGAGGAGCTGAGTGTGACACTGGTGAATGTGAGTGTGTGGACCTGACTGCATGAGGGTGTGTGAGGGGAGGGCGCCGAGTCAGAGCATCTGTGCAAGGATGTGTGAGTGTGTGGGTGTGAGCAGAGGTGTGATTGAGGGTGGGCAAGAACTGAGAATGAGTACGAGTGGCTTGTGAGGAGCATAAGTGTGAGTGTACAAGAAAGTGAGTGATCACAAGTGTGACTGTGTGAGTGTTATGAGGGTGTACTGAGTAAGTCGTGAGTACCTGTGTGAGGATGAGAGTGAAGGCCTGTGAGTACAGGTGAGCACAGGTGTGAGAAGAGGGAGGGCCTGCAGGTGTGCGTGGGTGACGGCGCACGTTCGGGGTGGCCTGAGTCTGGGCGTGACTGCAGCGAAGTGTGACGGGGGGTGTGCGCGCGCACGCGCATGACAGAGACGGGGACTAGTGAGTGTGTGAGAACGGGATGGAGAAGGGCGAGTGGGGTCCGTGGTGTGAGGGGAGAACAGACACTGCAAGAGCCTCCACAGCTGGTGTGAACACAGCAGCATTTTCACGCTGGATGCTCTCCTGAGTTGTGTGATGATCTGTAATTACGGGCATCACTCTCCAGGAGAACGGACACAGAGGAAGCAGCGTCACGGCTTCCTTGTCGTTCTGCCCGCCCAGCTGGAAAGGTCCAGCTCCCTTCCAACAGCCATCGCGCCTCTGCCCCCACGGCCCACGCCCTTGGCCCTGCCCCGGCTCTGAGCCAGGAGCCAGGCTCAGCCCCACAGAAATTCACGTGTCTAAGGTAAGGCCGTGTCTAAACAACGGTTCCCTCCACTGTGCACCATGTGAGATGGCAGGACGTGTGTCACCAAGCGGAGAGGCTGTGTCGGGACGGCTGCCTGCAGGCACAGGCCTGCGCACTCTGCCAGCCGCAGAGCCGGCGGCCATCCTCCAGGGCAGCGCGGGGGAAGCTGACCAGAGGCGCCAACCCAGTGAATTCAGATGCAGGGCAGAAAACCCACCAGGGTTTCAAATGGTGAGCCCTCCAACGGCGATGGTCTGTCATGCCTCTGCCCCAAACCTGCAGGTCTCAGGGCAACTGGACCTCCCGTCTTGATTCTCTGTGACCATCTCCTGCCCCCCTTTTGCATTTGACCACAGCCACACTGACCTCCCTACTGCCCCACAACCTACCAAGCATGGGCTCACCTCAAGGCCTTGGCACGAGCTGCTGCCCCTGCCTGGAAGGTTGCCAGACACCCCATGGCTCCCCGTTTCGGGTCCCCTCTCTGATGCTACCTCCTCACAGAGCCTCCCCAGCCACCATGCTTGTTCTTGCTACAACCACACCATGGAGTTCAGAATGTACTTCCCAGTGTTCTTTGTCCGTCTCCCCCAGCTAACAGTACGCTGCACAGAAGCCAGGATCGTGTCTGTTGTTTGTTATGTAACCCAAACACCTAGAAGAATGCCAGCCCTTGGCAGGTGCTCCATACATGTGTTGAAGGTTGAATGGAGTAAGTCACAGGGTGCAGAGGCTGCAAAATCGCAGGCAGTGATTTGTAATTTAGTTCGAGTCTTCCTCAGGGGTTCCAGGGTCCCAGCACCAAGGACGGGGGAAGGAGGGAGGGATGGTTAATCATTCTGTCACGAGCTGGGGAATACATTCTACAACTCTCTTTTCCACAGCATGTTTTATGTCTAAAATGATACACTAAAGGTGTGCACAGATAAAACTGTAGAACAATAAACTGATTCAAAACAATCATAAACTAATCTGGTCTTTGAGACTAAAATGAGTTGGCAAACATGTTGACATACCACGGTCTCTTCCAGCCCTTTGAGGTCCTCCCTGGCTTGCTCCCTTTTGTCATTGAGCAATCTACAAAACAAAGAGGAGTCATGAGCCACCAAGCAGGCTCCGAGATCTCCACAGATGCCCTTGAACCTGCAAATAAATCCACAGAGTGAACCAACTCGGCCATCTCTGTTTGTAAACTGCCCGACATCATCAGGATCTCTGGGTCTCCGAATCACAAAAGCAGACTTCTTGGGACTTTGCTGGGAGGAAAGGAAACAGGAAACATCTAAAGCGCACTCACAGGAGCTTCTCCAACTTCATCTCTCTCTCCTGGTCCTCGAGCTTCAGCTTGTCGTAATCAGAGCTCAGCTTCTCCTGTTCCAGCTGCAGCTTCTGGTTCAAACTGGAATGGAGAGGAAACAGCAATACATTCCCATCAACCTGAAGTCCCGAGTCCTGCTGCTGAGGACACGGTTCTGTCCCAACGCGTCAGCTCTGTGCAATGAAGGCGGCAGTTCTGGAGGGTTTGAGGACTCAGAGGACAAGCTCACAGCTCCCTCCCTGCCCAGGTGCAAGCGAATTTCATGGCTTTGGAGATGTATTTGTAGTTGGCTTGGGTGAGAGCTTCAAGGGGGAAATAACGAGACAGAAAAAGGCTGATATTTTCAAACAGAGACAGGAGCAGGTCTGAATTCTGCCGACGGCATACACCCACTCGGGAAACCTTATTTGGCCATTTCAACCTTCCCTTCCTCTTTGGTCCCATGTTCTGAAAACATCTCCTAAATGCAAATTCCTGGCTGACACAGTGACAGTTCCACTCCTTGATGTCCTCAAGGAGCGGGACAAAGGGAGGAAACAAAGAGCCTTGGGTCTCTGCAAAGGAAAAAAAAAAAGAAGAAGACTGGTTGGGGCATCTGGTCAACCCTGACCCAGCCCAGCACGTACAAGCCCTTTTGTGTGGCCCACGTGACGACAAAGGGCAGACCATGCAGGCGCTGAAGGAGAACTCAGAGTCCGGTGAAGGGCCCAGGAAACACCCCACCAGCTAACCCGGTGCCCAACCCTCCGTTCTCACCTCCCTGCCTCCCCCTCTCCCTTCCAGCTGAAACTTCGAGGCTGACTAACCAGGACGGGGAACATGAGACATGCGTGAAGGAGAAAGCACAACATGAACGGCAGCCAGCTGTGGCCGGAGGCGGGAGGCCTGATCCCTGGGTGGGCTGTGCAGTCCCTCACGCCACGGACACGTTTGCTCGTTACCGTTCTCCTCTTTCTAAATGCAAATGTGCCATGTGCCATTTTTCACGTCCGTGGAAAAGAGATTCGGATCAGTAGTCTGGAGAACTGAACTCTAACTTGTTAATTCCTACTTAGCAGTGTGACCCTAAGTCAATCATTTCACTGTGCTTCCCCTTCAGAGCTGTTTCTTCATTTACAGAAAATGGGAGGAAACAGCACCTTTGGTCTGGGCTGGGGGCCGGGGGAGGGGTCAGTGGATAGAACTATATTTCAACAAAGTTGGTTTTCTTATGCCCTTTATTTGGGCCATTAGAAAACATTATTCTGTAAAGAGATTCCAAAATTGCCAAGGAGCTCACGGTGCAGAACACATGAAGAACCCTCAGGAAAGGATCCGGAGGCCGCCTCCCCGCTTGGAGACTTGTGTGATGACGAAGTGGAAAGTACGAGAGGAGGAGGGAGAGGCTGTTACGAGCCGGGGCTCTTCAGTGGTTGGGACATTAAAGGAGAATGGCCTTCGAAGGTGTCACCGGAGACGAGCTGCCATGCTGGTGAACGCCACAGGTACTGGAGCGCAGACACAGGACCTACGGGTCCCTGGCGCGTGTGGCTGCCTCCAGGCACCTGGGAGCTGTGCTGTGTGGTGAGGGGGCGGAGCTGCCTTCTCTGGAGGGTTTTTTTAATCTTCGCTCACAGATATGATTATTTATTTTAGAGAGAGGGAAAGGGAGAATGAGAGAGAGAAAGAGAGAGAAACGTCGATGTGAGAGAGAACATCGACTGGTTGCCTTCCGTACGTGCCCTGACTGGGGACCGAACCCACAACCTAGGCATGTGCCCTGACCGGGAATCGAACCATCTTTCAGTGTACGGTACAATGCTCCAACCAACTGAGTCACACCAGCCAGGGCCTGGAGTACTTTTTAACTTATCTGAACCCCTGAGCCAGGACCAATTTAGGATTTGGGGTTGTTTTTAATACTCTCATAGTGTCTCCACCTACTGAGACATGTGTCTGCCTAGATGAGTCACCAAGATGACCCAGCTCCTGGGGACTGGGAAAGGCAGCTGGGCTCGCCGGCCACCTGCCCCACCAGCCCCTGAGCTCAGCTCCGGATGGGGGACCAGACCTGGCAGCAGCATGTCCAGCCGCCACAGCCCAGAGTGGGACACAGGGCTGGAGGCCACGTCCTTCCAGGCTGGCCCAAGAGCTGTACCCACACCCACCTCCCAGAGCACCCGCAACAACTCACTCCCGAATCTCATCGATGATTTTCTGCTTCTCCTCGATTTCATCGCGAAGTCTGGACAGCTGCTTCTGGTGCGCCTCCCGGTGGCTCTCCATCTGCTGCTCCAGCGCCTTCTGCAAGCCAGGCCAAGAGAAGCTGTCATCCGCTCGTTGGCTCTCAGCCCACATGGTGACAAGCCCTGGATGGCTTCTACCTCCTGTCCCACGCCCCTTGGCCATCAGGCCCCAACACTGGGGCCCCAGAACCGCCGTGCTTTACTGAGACAACAAAACCCAAGGAAGGTCACACAACCGAGTGGATCTTAAGAACGGATTCGCCCATTTATTACATAAAAAGGCTTCCCCTGGCTCTTTGCAGCGCCCCTCAGCCCCATGGCATCTCCAGCCAGGTCAGACAGAGGGCACAGGCCTCTTACTACCCGGACGACCTCAGACAAGCCGTGACCCTGTGTGAGCTACACTTGCTCACCCGTACAGCTTGGATAACTGGCCCACACTGCCCTCCGCACCAGTTAATGGTGATGTTCAAAGGAGCCCTTTTCTAAAGCAATGGAGAACCAGGAGAGGGCTGGCCCGGGCGAGGCAGGGCCATGCTGTCGGCTAGAGCAGGATCATGCCATGGACATCGCTTTAACTATGGGCCTATCCCCAGTGGGGCTCATGGTTGGACTAAAACGAGTCAAAATTCTACGGTTTCTCATATCTCATTTTATTCACTCAGAAATCATATTTCCTGATCATTTTCTCTGCATTTTTTGTTACTGTTTAAATGTGACCAAAAATAAAGCTCTCTATATTTAAGACGGAAATTAAAATGTGGGTACGTGGGAGACACGTTTTCGTCCGTTCAAAGGAAGGACGAGCATTTCTTCAGGCGCTAACCCGACGCCCAGGCAGGGACTGGGAGGCGCTGCTCGTCCACCTCCATCAGCAACAGGAAGGAAAAGTGCACGGATGCACCCCAGCTGTTATCCACAGACATCTCCGGTTTCTGGACACCACCACCTCTGGGATGGGATCTGACTGCCCAGCGGGGGTCCCGCCGCTCCCTCCTCCCCTGCCTCCCACCCCTGAGGAGGACAGGGTTTCCTAGAAGGAGCTGGCCCAGTCCGGGTGCACGCTGGGCTCGGGGCGGGGCGGCTCACCTTCATCTCCTCGGCATCCTGCAGCCGCGTCAGGTGCTCCTTTTCCTTATCCTGGAAGCTGACTTCGTGCATTTTTTCTGTTTTGAATTTTAAATGACGGTTTAAGATTTAACTTGAAGGACTCACACCCAACAGTAAAAATTGAAAAACAAACCAAGAATGACAGTGGCAGGGAACATCAGCTCCTATCACTGGTTCCGAGCTGGTACAAAGGAATGTCCGTCTGGGGAAAACGTCTGGCTAAAGCAAGGCTGACCGCTCCGGGGACATTACCTAGGTCCTGGGGGAGGGGAATCACACAGGGAAAGGTGCCCAATGGAGCGGGCCACTCTGCAACTGACGTGCACCCCACACCTGGGCGTCCTGGCTCCCACCGGGCCTTGTGAGTGACCCCGGGGCAGAACCGTGCTCTGTGTGGGTGCACAGCTCTCCGTGGACCTGAGTGGCATCTGCATTGATGCCACTGTCGGTGCTCCTTCCAGAAGATCTAATTTACCTCCCGTGGGTGAGCTGTCTATTCTCTAAGAATCTGGAGTAGGAAAACAATCTAAGGATAAGGACAAAGGAAATAGAAATATCAAACAGCACCCTCCGGATTGAAAGGAAGGCCCTCCATCTGGGGCAGGGCTGCTACGGGACACACGGTGGGGGCAGTCCCGGCCTGTTCTTGGTCATGGCCCCGAGCACGTGGGGCCGGGGCAGCCGGAGTTGGGGGTAGGGGTGGGAGCCAGTGATCTGACAGCAACACTCAAGTCGCCAAGTCTCCCGCCCACTCTGCTTCCCTGTACTTCAGGTTCTCTTGCTCCTATTTCACTCCCACTCGGGGGCCACGCACAGAAGCCACCTACAGGAGGGGAAAGGTCTTCCTGTGTCAAGTTTCAGGCGCAGCATTATACTCCTAACATTCACCCATTGTCACGCAGACAACATGACAAGGCCACAGTGGGGGTGGGCGTGTTCTCTTTCTTTTTAAAATTTGCCTTGGCTTTTGAACCAAAATGTATTTACTGAGCAAATAACTATATAATAATAAAGGAAGTAAAAAGGATAACATCATCACCAGTCCTAGTACCCTATCAAAACCATTTTCACTTCAAATAGTTTGTAGGCCTTGAAACACAGCATCCACTGATTTCTAAATGTTATAGCCACAGTAAAAATAAAATTACTCATTGTGACTTTTCATCTCAGGTTACACCTGCAGCCTTCATTACTTCATCCCCCATATGAAAAATGTTCTACTGCACAACACAGCATAGTTCCTCTAACTGTTGGACATCTGGGTGACTCCCTTTTTTCCCACTAATACAGGTAATTCTGCAATGAATATTTGAGATTTGAGGATCCAAAGATATGAAAAATGTTGTGATTATTAATGTTTTTCAAAATACTTTCCAAAAGGTCTCTAACAATTGCCAGTGCAACCCATAATATGTGTGTTCCTGTTCACCACCATGCAAACGTGTTTAATCGGTCTGGTTTCTGCATGTGTCCTGTCGCCCAACCCTCTCGAACTTCCTGTGTTGACTCAGATTCACTGAGCACGCGGGGTGCCCCTGAGCAAGGGCGGCAGGAGGCTGCCTGACCAAGGGAAGAGCTTGTTCCAGGGATGGACGGTACCGCTGAGCCACCGGCAGAAGTTCAGACTTGACATTAAGAGCAACAATGTCAGAGGCGTAGGGCTGGGCACAAGACAGATCTGACTTCAGAACAGTCCCCTGGTTGCAGCACGGTGGCCAGCCTGGAGCCGCCAGGGGGTGGGGCCCTCGGTACACGGGTGTGGTCACAAGTGTTCCTTAGATTAAGGGCAGTGACAATGAAGACAAAGACAGCAGAACCAAGGAAGCATCTGGTCGAACACAGGCCTGTGACAGACCGGGCGCAGGGAAGAGAGCGAATTCTGAGGTGGGCGGCAGGGTGGGCTGGGGAAAGTGGGCGATGGAGCAGATACAGAGGGGGGCTGTCTTCTGGAGGACCCCCCAGTTATGCTATTGTCTTCAGTAGGCCTAGAAATGCTTTAATTGAGCAAAAGCAAACACCACGAGCTCAGCCCTCCGGAGAGAGCCTGCTTAGGCCTCGAGTTCGACGTCTGCAAAGCAGTCGCTTGTTTACCTTGGGCCCGGAGCTTGGCCAGCTCTTCTGTGAGCGAGTCTTGGGACTCCTCCAGCTGCCTCCTCTTCTGTTCCATGTTCTGCATGTAGTCTGTTAGGGACTTGATCTTGGCTTCATGCTTGCAACAGCAAATAGATAAAAAGGAGGAATGAATGACTAGCAAGTGGTTCTCCACTAGCCTGGGACTTTCCAATGGGAAATGCAGTGAGGAGTCCTGAGTCCCTTTTGCAGTTCCAACACCCACAGAGCATATTCTGCCCTTTGCTTGGGATCCAGGATCATGGACTAACTAACAGGGTCCTCCGTTTCTGCCGTGTGTTTCTCTGCTTCATTCCCCACAGACAGCCCTCATGGCCATGCCCCTCCTCCCCACGCACGTCAGTGAGACACCAAAACCCAGGCCGCTTTCCTCCTCACAGAGAAGAGTGTGCTGGAGAGAGGGGGGGCGGGAAAATGTCTGGGGCTGAGGGCTTCACTCTTTGAACCCACACCTCTGAATTGCATCTTTATAAACCAAATATCATGGCTTTTCTTTTACTGTCTCTCACACTCACCAACTCCTATCTCACGGACTTTGCATTTCACACTTGCCTCTCCCTGGTAAGCTCCGCCCCATCCCTCCCCAACGTGGACCTGGCTACACCCCTTATCACTCAGACCCCAGCATTTTCTTAGAGCACTGAACTTCTACGTGATCTGTAGATAGTTTATTTTGTCATAATGTCAGCAATATTGTGTTCAACATCTCCCATATAAGTGTTTAACATTTTTAGTCAGGAAATGATAATACTATATAAAATGAATTTTTTTCATTTTTGTCACCAATGAAAAATACCATACGTGAAATGACTGCACCAAAGTACACTTACATTTTTCATTTACATTTTGATTCCCAAGGTGCTTTCCAAAAGGACTAACCAAATCATACTCTGGCCAACAATGTATATAAATTTCATTATCATACACTGGCACGGAACAATCGTTTTAATACATTGTTGCTTATTATGTTAGTTATAAAATGGAACCTTGATGTTCTAAATGCATCTCTAGATTAGATGGTGGCAGACAAGGAGGCTGGAGATGTTCTGTGACTGCATGCCGTCACTACATCTGAAAGCACAGCTGAACGAGGTATGTGTCGTATGTGTCTGTCTGTCTGTCTGTCTCTCCGTGTTACTTGATGCACTGCTCATGCCGACATGCGTCTGTTTCCCCCGAATGACTTCAGCTGTTTTAATGCCTGTATAAGGCAGAGGCAGCGCACACCAGACCACTCACAGAAGCCCCGAGCCCCAAACACCAGGCTCAGACAACAGTGGCAGACCAGAAACTAGGCCCTTTTCTGAAACCACCTTGCTCAAATGAAAATACCAGTCCAAGGGGAAGAACAGCGCATTCACTGAGCGAGGGAAATGTGCTGGGAGCTGGGAAACGCCTCCGCGGCTTTGGGTTCACGTACACTTTGGTCCGAGTCCCCGCTCTGCTTTCATTGGCTCCATGAGTTTGGACGCTTTATTTAATCATTATAGGTCTCTGTTTCCTCATCAGAAAAACAGAAACAATAATAATACCTGCCGACCAGAATATTTTTAAAGATCAAGCGAGATCATGCATATGAGGTGCTCAGCACAGCGCACGCACACTGTACACACTCAGCGAAACGTCACTAATAACGGTGCTGGCGGTGGCGGCTTCTGTTTCAGCCATTCAGTTGGTCTCATGATAGAGATGAAAAGAAGACGGAATATTGCCTTAGCTGATAGAAGTTTTAGATTCCACCCAATCTTATCCATTTTATCTACCCACCTACCTACCTACCTACTTATCCACAGATAGCCAGATAGAGGTATATAGGCACATCCTTTAAAAAGGGACCAAAGATGATTCAAGTAACTCACACAACAAAATCTAGCCGCGGTTAACAAGAAGCCTGGGCCGTCACTGCCCGGGGAGGCCATGGACAAGTACTACAAAGCAAAGCTCATCCACACCCCATCACGCACATCAGCCCCAGCAAGAGCACGGAGGAGGCCGGTTTCGAGAACAGGGTGTGAAGAAGAAGAAAGGTGGGACCCACCTGGGATATGAGCAGCTGGCAGGCGGCCAGCTCCCGCTCGCTGGCATTCATCTTCCTGTTGGAGTCTATCTGGGCGCTCTCCAGCTGCTTGCTGCGGTTCACCAGGGACTTGACCTCCGACTTCATCTTGCTGATGCACAGACGGGCCATGGTGAACTCCTCCTCGATGACACCGTTCACATCTGCCAACTGAGCACAGGAGGGGACACGTTCGCCTACCGCCTATAATTCCCACAGGTTCATGGGGCCCCTGAAACCCGTCCAGGGGTCCTCAAGATGCCTGTTGGTTCCTGTTTAAGAATCCCTACTTGTAGGACCACAAGCTAAAAATGATCCTAAAAAGTGCTATATGTTCAACCTCAAGGTCTTAGAAACCTCAGGTGAAACTTTCAATTAAAAACCTCTACTAAATGTAACCCTCAATTAACCAGGTTTTTCTTAACAATGGATTTGCAGGACAAAAGAGATATTATCAAGAGAAAAAGACACTGACGGTTATAACAAGAGATAAGTTTGAAGAGCTGGTCCATTCAGTGTCTTTACCTGATATTTCTAGACCAGCAGAGGCCCAGGGTTCCTAAAGGTGACTCTGAGCCCCTAGAAGAACTCCAATCAGAACTGCAATTACATTCTCTATCATCTGCTATTCAGAGAGAAAAACAGTCTAATGGCTTGAATATGTTTCTACAACTAAGGGTTGGAACAAAAGGATCTTCTATATAGTCCTCAATTAGGCAACAAAACAATCTAATGAATAAGATGTGCCATTACCTACAGCCCCTCTAGATGAAGATGCTTGTGCACGACTTGTCATTACTACCAGGTGACGTTTCCTCGCCCTCTACATGCCTGCCCCTTCCAAGCAGACAGGAATCTATCTTCTTATTTAAGATCACCTGAGAATAACAGTCTAAATCCACCTTTAGGAGAGAAGAGTCTGACAGCAGCATTCCTGCATGATCTCATATTTGGTTTCTAAGTTTCAGAGCTCTGCTGGAAACAAAAATTGATACAAGATACTTGGGACAGAAACCCATTTGCTGACATACAGTCATGTTTCTTGAAGGGCAGTTTTCCAAATGAACAAAGTAACTGTGTGCATATTCTGTCTAACCAGCAGAGGGCACCCTAGCACCTCAGTCCAGAACCCAGCCCATAAATAGAGGCTTCAGTTGGTTTTAAGACAAGGATTCCAACTGTATTTTTAATGTTGCACAGTACATTTTAACAGCCCACTTTTGTCACTATTGTCGTCATTCATATGACTCTTGTTTCAGTAAACATTTAAGAGTTAGGAATATGGAATTGTGTATCAACCCTGAACATTGGTAGCAGATAGGAAGTACACAAATTAGACAGCACGCTAAGCATCTATAACATGGTGTCAACCTTCCCCTAAGAATTCCATAACAGCACTGGTTAAATCAGTGTCAATCAACACAACTCAGGATCTATATTAACAGTGAGAAAATCTACACATATCAACCTTTGACTCCACTTTAATTTAATGGAGGTTCTTGCTTACGCCCGTTATATTTCTAACTGCCAACAATTTCTCTACCAACACCACTCCTCCTTACATACTCTTTTTATAATCCCGTTGCATGGAGATGAGTAAGAGAATTCTCGCTTGCAATCTTTAATTTTTTTTTTATTGTTCTTCTGCCTTTGTGATTGGTCAAATGTGGAAGAGAGATAAGAAACTCACTCTTTAGCCTGACCGGGTATGCCCTGCATACTGTCCGGGTTCTGTAGAAAGGTAAGGGAACATCCATATCTTCTATGTGGAATTTACAACCTACACAGCTCTGGTAGATAAACATCACTGAACCAACAGGTAGGACATCTTGGAAAGAGACAAACCCCTCCTCTGCTCCAGGTCTGTCCTTAGACAAGACACTTTCTACTTTATGCTCAGATCCCATGTGAATTGGGGAGAGTAAAAAATGCATATATAATAACGGGCTTCCTCCTAAATGATATTGATTCTCCCAAACTAGAACCAGAACCTCTGAAGCCTACTCTTTTCCTTGGAGATCTGAACAGAGATTTGACCCATGCTTGATGGGAAAAAAAACAAAAAACAAAACAAAAACAGTATGTCAACAAATGATTGTAACTATGAGTGAGGTTTCTGCCCCTTAAGAATTCATATCTTTTGTCATGTAAGTTGAAAGTTTTCAGTAATTCTAGTACCCTGTTACTTCAAACAGAAGAATCAGAGTGTGCTGCTGAGATGTTATTTATAACTCTCCCCTGGGTCTGACGATGGCTCCAGCACTACACCCTAGACTGTGATCTACGACAAATCACTAATCCGGAAAAAAGGCTGTTCACGTGGGAAGACAGATGCTGCCTGCCCCTCTATTCTGCCTAGAGAGGAAGAGTCCCCCCCCCCCCCCCCCAGGAGCATGGACGGGCTGAGCAAGGTGCCATTCCTAGGCCAAGTAAAGGTAAGTAAGGTGATCGTTGACATCCTGAGACACAAAAGTCACAATGAGACTAGAAGTCAGTGTGGGTCAAAGGAAAATTAAGCAGCTAACCCATTCATTTCATTTACTCTACCTCTATTCTATTAGTTTGTGGTTGGATTCCTGGAAATCTCATGAAAAGAGGAAGTTCATGAATAAACCTGACAAAGTCAACACCAGGCTCATCTTGTCATTAGCTGGTCTCATCGTTTTGTTGGCTAAACAAAATATTGCCCGGACTGTTTCAAGACATGATCGAGCTGGAGAACTATGGGTTCTTCTGTTTCCGGGCGGAGCGGGCCTGTGGTATTCTGGAATCGATGGCTGAGGAGACGCCAACAGCCATGCCTCCCTCACACCACAGCATGACCGGGAGGGACCTCATGGGACACCAAAAAAATAAATAAATAAAGCTTCCTGGATTTGCTCATTTTCTTAGATCAGAATAATTGTATCAACTGAGCAGTCCTAACAATAAGGAGAGTATCTATAATAAGAGGGACTTCATCAAACCAAAAAGTTCCTGCACAGCAAAAGAAACCATCAACAAAATGAAAATGCAACCTATGGGATGGGAGAAAATATGTGCAAATCATATATCTTATAAGGGGCTAATATCCAAAATATATAAAGAACTCATATAACACAACAGCAAAATCCAAACACTCTGATTAAAAAATGGACAGAGGATCTAAACAAACATTTTTCCAAAGATATACAGATGGTCACCTGGTACATCACAAATCATCAGGGAAATGCAAATGAAAACCACAATGACATAGCACCTCACACCTGTTAGAATGGCTGTCATAAAAAAGATAAGAGATAACCAATGTTGGCAGAGCTGTGGAGAAAAGGGAACTTTAGTCCACTGTCGGTGGGGATGTAAACTGGGTCAGCTACTATGGAAAACAGCATGGGGTTTCCCCAGAAACAAAATTCCTTAAAAGCAGAACTGCCATATAGTCCCGCCACCTTACGTCTGGGTATGTAAGCAAAGGAAGTGAAATCAGAATCTCATAGAGATGTGTGTTCCCACTGCCGCACTGCACACAATCGCCAAAAAACGGAAGCAACCTATGTGTCTGTCAACAGGTAAGTGGATAAAGCTGTGTGTGTGTGTGAGTGTGAGATGTGTGTGTACAATGGAAAATTATTCAGACATGAGAAAGAAGGAAATCCTGCCATTTGCAACAAAACGGATGGCCCTTCAGGGTTTACCCCTCAAGTGAAATAATTCGGACAGAGGAAGACAAATATGGTATCACTTATATGTGGTATCTAGAAAACCTAAAAATGTCAAACTCAGAGAAACAGAGTACAGTGGTGGTTACCGGGGGGGGGGGGGGGCAGTTACTGGACAAAGGGCACAAACGTCCATCTAGAATGTTAACCAGTTTGGGAGCAAATGCACAGCACGAACAGGACAGCAGACAGCACTGCACACGGCCTCACATGCTGCTCAGAGAGCCGGCCTTCGGTGTGCTCACCGGGAGAGAAATGCTAACCACGAGATCAGATGAAGGTGGTCGCTAATGCTAGGGTGGCAGCTATTTTGCAACATATATATATATAAACGCATCAAATCAAGGTATTGTACACCTTAAATTATACAATGTTATGTGTCAATTTTATCTCAAAAAAGCTGGGGGTGGGGAGTATCTGTGCCCATACGACAGACCTAATCAATATCTGTATATCACGTAATTTCGAGCTGACAACCTTTGAGGTAATCGGGTTCACCTTGTCGTTTTACAAATCAGGAAAATGAAGCCCAGAGAAGTAAAGTGATTTGTCCAAAGTCCTATCCCTCCTCCCTTTAGCTCTCATGGTTGTCCTAATAATTAAATCATAATTATAAGGAAAATAAACCAAAATAATTAAGAATATGATGCTCTGCAAGTGAGAGTCATCAATGAAATTAACTAGTTATCAATGAAATTAACGAGGGCATCCAATGTCTGGAATCCAAAAATATCTTTAAAACATCCAGTTGAGTATTTAAAAATAATCTCAGTCGTACTTCAGATTCCCAAAGGTAAGGACTTTTTTTTTAAACGCTGAAGCACCCAGACATTCCTTGATTTCATTAGCATTTTTCATCAGCTCTATTTTAGAACTTAGCATAAAAATATCTTCCTTTATCGTTATCAGCAGCAGGTGCCAACTTCCCATAAATCAACTCCACCTTCCTATTTCAAAGGATATTTAATCACCCAAACGTCAGAAGTTTATAGCTCAACACCAGTGTATGCTTCTAAAAATTCTTCTACATCCTCAAATAAAAAGCCACCCAAACTGGAGCTTAATGGGCTTAATCCTATAGTATCTGAGAATTCTAGGCTAAAATTAGATTCATTCATAAAGGTTTATGAAATATTCAGTTACAATAGAGGTTCAATGAAAGAATAATTAGGTTTACAAGAGATCATATATTCTAAGCCAAGAGCTGTTATACCATCGAAGAAGGGCTTTCTACGTTTTCTAGAAATGTAATTTGGAGAGCCTTTTCTAGTACAATCCCAGCTCAAAACCCGAGTGTTCCCACAAAGCAAGCTAATGTAGACTTCAGCTTTTTAAAAGTCGCAAGGCTAAATTCAAAGATTTTGGTTTAGAGACTTGTGAGGTAGAAGCTGATTAATACAGCACCATTCCCTAGCCTGGTCAAATCCACGCATCTATCAGTGGCTGCTCTGTACAAGGTGCTGCATTACTATAAGGCAACTGTAATCAAAACAGTGTGTTGATCTAAAGATTAGATCAATGAAACAAAATCGAGAGACCAGAAACAGTGCATATACTTGGGGGGGGGGGGGTATATTCATTATAGCTTACTGTGGTGATGGCTTCACAAGTATATACATATGTCAAAACTTCTCAAACTGTACACCTTAAATAAATACAACTTACTTTATATCAATTATACATCAATAAAGCTATTTCTAAAAATGTGTCTTATTGTAAATGGCATCTCTATATTGTGGCAAGCTGTTCATTTTTCTTGGCTGATAACTATTTATTCTCTCTTCCCCACCCCCCTTTCTAGCTCATGGACAACTTTATACCATTCTCATTCTTCCCCTTACCTTAGGTCCTTGCCATTAATGGCACCAATGTGCACAACTCCAGGAAATTATTTATGGTTGACTTAAGCCAATGATAAATCCTACTTCTCTGCTTTCCTAGCTTCCCTCGCAATTTGGGGTAACTATGTAACCCATTTCTGACCAATGAAGTATAAGGGGCTGTCTAGAGGACTTTGCGGATACAGTTCCCTCCTGGAAGAAAGTTGGCTGCCTTTTCAGCCCATCCTGTCTTGGATGTAGTTGTGTTAGGATGTGAAGACTGGTGCTATGGCAGCTATTTTGCTACCATGAGACAAAAACCTACAGATATGAAAAAGTAACAGACAGAGGAAAGAAAGCATAAAGGAAACAAAGAAAAGTCCTGGATCCTTGACATTGTTTCAACGCCAAACCAAAATTCGCTTCTAAAACTTTAATAAGCAAAAGAACGGCCTGAGGAATCTTGTTAAAATGCAGTCTGATTCCGTAAGTTTGAGGTGGGCCTGAAAGAGTCCATCTTCCCAACAAGCTCCCAGGTGACGCAAATCACAACCCGAATAGCAAGATTCTAGATTTCTCATAATGTGAATAATTAAATATGGCTTTGTTTTATAAGCCACTGTTAGAATCCTATTACTTCCAGCTTAAAGCTTTTCTTATTCACACTGATTGGTTGGGTTTTCATAGAAAAGGAGAAACACAATTCTGAGACTAGAACTGTGGGTTAACCTAATTCCAAATTTCCGCAACACTGGCATGTAAGTTTGAGGAATAAACCGATTTGCATAAAGTCAACCAAGCTTTGAAGACATTTCCTATATTTGAAAGGTACATTTTTTCTCCTCCTCCCTACCCAAACAATGACCCACTTAGTCATTCATCAGCCCTTTGATCACTCTTATTGGAATATTACCAAGCACACGGCGGACACACAGCACTGCGCCACGCATTGGTACTCCGAACAAAGCAGAGACCCTGCTTGCTCAGCTTCACCCCTGAATGAGAGAATGACAGCGGGGAGAGAATACAGGCCTGACTTACAGTCTTCACGTCATTGGTGCCGATGATTCCGCCTATCTCCCCCAGGTCCTTCAGCAGCAAATTCAGGATCTCGGTAGCTCTCTTTTTCTGGTGGTTGCTAAGTTCTTGAAGCTGGCTCAGCTCTCTCTGTGTGGTTGTCAATGTAGTCTGAAAAATACATTTCCACAACAAATGTAAAAGGGTTGCCCATCGACTTTTTACACTCAGCACTGCAGTGAGTAACAACACAATGGAAGATGGAGTTCAGTTACCATTTCATGAGATTTCAACACAAAGGTTCTTTAAAGGCAAACTGCAGTACAGCGCTGCGTTCCTCAACAAGAAGAGGAATTTGTCTTGGCCTGATATGTTATGTCTACGTATCAGGTGACAATTTCCAGGTTAGTGAAATAAGTTATTAAAAATAAACAAAGCCCAGAGGAACCCTTAGGTTTATAACCTGTAATCACATCTTCCTACCTACCAGATGTTCTGTGTCGGTTCAGGTCCTCAGGGGTCTAAACATACCTCAGGCACCCCCGTCCCCACTTCCAAACAAGCCTGCTCCCTGGACCACTTCCAAATTCCCATCTGACTCCCGTCTGGGAGGCCCAGAGGGACATGAATGGGTTTAGAAAACTCAGAAAAATTCTAATCTTTACAGTGAAGCTGAATTGAACACTCTTCATATTTTTTCAAAATAAATCAAATTCAACAAGATCAGGCTTCTGAATTTATAGCAAAAGCTCCATTTTATTGTCCAACATTAACAAACCCGTATCTTTTCCATCCCTCAGGTACGTTACCAAAAGGTATATAGATATATATTTTTTAATTTTTATTTATTTATTTATTTTTATTTTATTTTTGTTACAGATGTTTCTCCTTTTTTACCCCATTGACACCCCCCTCCCCATCCCCCCCATCCTGTCCCCGGCTTTGTTGTCCGTGTCCATTGGTTATGCATACCTGCATATAAGTTCTGTGGTTTATCTCTTCCCTCCCCCCACCACCCCCTCTCCTGAGGGTTGTCAGTCTGTACCCTACTTCCACATCTCTAGGTCTACCCTATTAAAAGGCATATATTTTTAACTAAGTAAAACTAACTAACTAACCTAAACTCTCAAAATCCAAAGAACAGCCATCTTTGGGTGTCTTGATATTAACTCAGCCAATGACGAAAAAAAAATAATGCCCCTAAATTATGAAGCTATGGGGGTTAATGCAAAGACACTTTTGCAGTTCTTCCATATGCAATTATTTTACTAGAGTACTTTTTAATGATCTTACTAAAAATAGTACTCTAAATGAGTAGAGCAATACTTTGGTTTGACAGAAAATAAGAACTGTCTTATGGAAAATGTTTCACTGTTTTGAGAAGCAAATACCAAGGATTAGTTAAGGAACCCTATAGCAGATAATAAGCAGAGAAAATCTAAGTCTCTTCCTTCCCTAAGTGATTTCCAGTCTGTTTTTCTGTCTGTTTTTGTTTTTGTTTGGGCATTACCACTGTGGTTTCATTTCGTTTTTTAAGTCCAGAGGATCTAGGGAGGTCATTTAAAAAGCCCGCCTGCCCTGGTCGGTTTTCCTCAGAGGTTAGAGCGTTGGCCTACGAACCAGAGAGTCCCGGGTTCGCTTCCCGCTAAGGGCATGTACCTCGGTTGCAGTTTGTCCCTGGCCCTGGCTGGGGTTGTGCGGGTGGCAGCCACTCGATATGTCTCTCTCACGCCGATTTTTCCCTCTCTCTCTTCCTTACTCTCTCCTTCCCACTCTATCTGAAGATAAATGCAAAAAATTAAAATGAAAAAGCCTGCCTTCATGCAGTTGGATGTGTGGAACGCGGAGCCTTTCCCATCAGCTCTACCGTCAGCAGCTTAGAGCTCGCCTGCACCATCTGCTACTTCTCCTTGCCCGGGAGAACTGGATGTTTTCCACAGAACAGTCTGGGTACAATCCCGTGATACCAGACCACTGAGCTTAGGTGCCAGGGGCAGCTGGGTACAGCCATTCAGCTTCCCGCCACCCATTTTCCAAGTAGAAAAGGACAAAAGGACACCTCCCACCACCAGCCACCTTGCCCAGTGCTCACTGGCCCTGATGCCACGAGCTCAGTGTGCAGAACCCGCAGCATCGCTCACTGGGCGAAGCTGACAACCAGAACGTGTGGACTGAAGCACTGGTTTAAAGCAGGACAGCAAACAAACCGAGACAGCTGAGTCCAGGGCTAGTACACAAACTGTGGGGGTAACGGACTTCATTCAGGAGGCTACGAACAAGAACAGGGAAGTCCACTGCCTTCCATGGTCACCCACTCTCACCTGCTGACTTAACAATTTGAGACTTACTTATTGTTACTTAGAAAATGTACAGGTCCAGCCCTGGCCGGTTTGGCTCAGCGGTTAGAGCGTCGGCCTGCGGTCCTGAGAGACCCGGGTTCGGTTCCTGCTAAGGGCGCATACCTCGGTTGCAGTTTGTCCCCGGCCCTGGTTGGTTGTGCGGGTGGCAGACACTCGATGTGTTCCTTCACATCGATGTTTCTCTCTCTCCCTCCCACTCTACCTGAGCAAAAAGTGGAAAAATGTCCTTGGGTGAGGATAAAAAAAAAAAAAAAAAGAAAATGTACAGGTCCATGCTAAGTGCTTTATGTAAACGTTCACTAATTCTCACACACTTAAAGAAGCATGTTATTTTCGCCAATTTTACAAATAAGGGAACGAATACTTAAGACGTTTAAATGTTTCGACTAAGGTCTAATAGTTGAAAAGTCAGAATTTTAACCAGGGCCCTGGCCGGTGTGGCTCAGTTGGCTGTAGCATCATCTGTGCACCAAAAGGTAGTAGGTTTGATTCCCAGTCAGGGCACATGCGCAGGTTGCGGGTTCAATCCCTGGTCAGGGCATGTGCCAGAAGCAATCAATGGATGTTTCTCTCTCAAGTCAATATTTCTCCTTCCCTCTCTCTTTCTTTCTCTGTCTCTTTCTCCCTTCCTCTCTATAAAAATCAGTAAAATTTAAAAAAAATTTTAGCCAGGATTTTTCTGGCTCCAAAGTCTGCACTCTCTTGACTATTCCACAAGGCATCCCTGCTAATGTTCTAAATTCCCTGAATATAAAACAGTTATACTATACAGTTCTAGGATGAGTGGATGAAAAGTCACTTACACAAAACATTTCGAACCTTGGAAGATTTCAGAGAATGCATCTAAGTCTAACACTGAAAACCATTCTGCCAACTGCCTTCCCATATACAGTCTGTCAAGAACCATGGATATAGTACAGGAATGGCAACTGAGGAAGTCCCGCCCCCTAGGCACAAAAGTTCCAACCGTTTTCTGGGCCAGCTCATCTGTCAGCTGCTCATTGGCCCTGGTCTTGTCCTCCACTTCCTGCGACTTCTGGTCATAATTGACAGCCAGCTCCTCCAGGGCCTGGAGAACTTCTTTCACCTCGTCTTTGGCTGCCTCGTTTTCAATCTGGAGCCGTGTCAACTCCTCTTGGATCTTCTCATAGTCTCTTCTGGTGGAAGCTAAAAGCTGGGGAAATGAGATGGCACAGAACTGGTGAACCTAATGTTTGCATTTTTATGTTGTGTTTTGTATCCAAAATAAAGTAATTTTAAAAAACAGATACAAGAAAACAAGTTGGAAAAGCTCAGGATGACTAGAAACCCTACTGTATATCCAGATGCTCAATTTACAAATAGCATGTTATTTCAAAAATCTGTTTTTTCTGCTTTCTTTTCTCTCTCTCTGTTTTTCCTTCTTCATTTTCATTGCAAACTATCTAGGGTTAACTCGAATTGCTTACACATCAAAAATCACCACACTTCATAGCTGGCTATCCATCCCACATGTTTAACAGAGTATGGGGGAATCATTTCTGAGAACAATAATACTTACATGACTCTTTAGCATTATCATTATTTCACATCATAAACTGGTCAATTTCAAAATCAACCACAGAATATAAGGGCAGTCATCAATTTTTCTTAATATTCTTCATGGATATATAGAAGCATATACCCCGAATATTAATACAAGTTAAAAGTGAATGTCTGGGCAGGTAGATGCTTTCATTGTCTTTGTGCCCACTGTATGTTCTGATTTTCCTGTAATGAACATATATTACCTTGACACTATAGAAAAAGAAAAATATTAAGAGTCTAAATGGTAACAAAAGGAAAGTTAATCACAGGCAGTTGTGCCCAGTTGGAAATGCAAAGAACTAGAATAGGAGGAGGAGGGCAGAAACACTAAGCAAATGGAAGACTCAGCTACAGTTAAGAGGAAAATCAATTAAATATGGTTTATCTCACTGCAAAGGCATACATGGTCTCCCTGCCAAGAGAAGTATTTGGACAGGGGGCATAATCCTTGTCCCAGAGAGATGAAGGGAAACAAAGAAGAAAAGGAAATTATTATGGAGAGAGTTATGTCTATGGGAAGGCTGAGACTGGGGACATGGACCCAAGCTACCTGCATTGCATGATGCAATTCATACCATTTTAGAAACAAAGCAGAAAGCACCCTAAAGCACAAAAGAGAAAAAAAAAAATACTTAGATGGTCCTCAAAAAGAGAATTACAAACCATCTATGTTTGATAGATTCTCTGTCTCTTCTTTGCTTAGGTTCCTGTTTGTAAAATACTAGGCAAAATGCAATGCAATACACTTACTGGAGAATTGAAAGGCATCAGGGAGACTGAAAACAATTTGCCTCCTTTTTATTGTATCACATATATATGGATGCAGCATTTGGACCCCTTTCCTCTCTGCTTTCCCTTTCTCTACCTTCTAATTTCCGTTTGTTTGTTGTTCCTACAAGACAGCATGAGAACATGGTGTATAGCCAATACCTGAACTGGCTGATTTGCAAGGCTGAAAAAGGCCAAAGCGGCAGAAAGCAGGAGCTTTGAGCACTGGGCCTGAGCACCGAGTGGAACCATGCTGTCCACCTACCAGGCTTCTGTCTCTGTCTACCAAGCTCCTCAAACTCACTCTCAAAAACCCAGGGCTCTACAAAGTCAGACACTTACGTTCTAAATTCAGGCAAAATCAGCTTTTAAAGGGCATTAAAAATAAATCTACCAAGAAATATTCACATGATTCAGTGATTTTTGAAAAAAAATCTTTGCAAATTAAATTTCTGAAAAAAACACCAACAACAAAGAGTAAAAAAAAAAAAAAAAGAACTTTGTAAGAAAAAATTTATTACGAACTTTACCTCATCCTGATCCAACATCTGTTGCTTTAGCTTTTCAGCCAGCTGGCTCTGCTGGTTAATTTCATCATCCTGAAATGAAACATCATGTTTAATTCTTTTCAGTTAGTTGTGTCATTTTTTATATCCGAGATAGTCCGATACCAGGATGCCAGCTGTGAGCTTCCTAATAAAACGCAGGAAGTGGTATGGTGCTTCCCTACCAAAGAGAGACTGGCTCTGGGATCTTGATTTGGTTAAAATATCTCTCACCCTCTTTTGTCAGCAAATGAAACATCTGGGTAGTCTGGAAAATATAATATCCTCCACATTCAACTCAGTCTCTGCTCTTCCAGAAGTCAGAGATCCAGGGCTTGGGAACTTTGAAAGGGACTTTGGAGTTCCCTCTCCCAGTTCAAAGATGTTAACAGCGAACGCCTAGCTCCCAAAAATAAGGCAGTGGATGTCTAACCATCTGCACTGTAATCAATTCATGTCCCAAATCTTGTCAAACACATCAGTGACCAGGAATGCTGACACGTGATATGTAGGAGAGACCAGCATTTCTACTTCAAACCTCTTACTTAGAGAGGTTGGAAAAATATTTACTAGAGAGTTAATCTTTGCCATAAGCAGACCTCTCTGTTGATTGGAAATTTTCTTACCAGCTTGGAGAGGTGGGGGGCGCTAAAGAAACTTGGGGATGCAGCAACGTTAATTCTTACTTTCCAGCCTGTGGCTAAAGTAAGAAAGGGTCTTCAAACAGGCCAATTCGCTCTCCTCACTCTCATGTTCTGCCACTAGGTGTCGCTGCACAAAGCCAGTGCCGCGAGCCTCCAGCTGCCCATGCAACCTCTGTGCCTCTCCCCAGGTACCTCCACCCAGTGGGGGCAAAGCAGCAGGCGGACGATGCCCAGCCGCATGAGACTCAGTGTTCACGACAACTGTTTTCATGAGTCCAAGTGCACATCTGAAGCACAGCCTGTGAGAACGACCACTCGGCTTCCCGTGTGCCTCTCTCCCTCAGAAACAGCAGAAAATTCTATTTGATGACTCAGATTCAGTTCAGTACTGTGGGGTCCCTCTTGCTGCCAGGTGCTGCCCAGTTGTTTTCATCAGCAGCCCATAAAAAAAAAAAAAAAAGAAAAGAAAAGAAAACAAAAAAACACCCTGCACCGTGCCTTCTACCTTTTCTAGAGGTGAGGTGAGGGTACATTCCAGGGCCTACTTAGCAAACCTTATTAGCAAAAGCTCAGTTTTCCACGGCATACTCTCCAGCCTGTCTGGCCGTGTCTCTGCATACATTTAAATGAGATTAACTCAGTGTCTGTCACAACTAATGCTTTCCACGGAGCAAGAACATTCTGAAATCCATGTTACAGCATCTGCATCTCCCTTCCCTTTGGGTAGCACATCTTTTGGCCTAATTCTCTCCTCAAGGAGATCCTTTTCTACTGCAAGTTTTGCAACGATGTTTCTTTAGCGCTTCTACAAAACGCTCATGACGTTCCTCCCCAAACCAGATTTCTGACAGAATTTGGGAAATTACACCAAAGTGAAACCGCCAAAAATGGCACGTCCACTAGAAGACTAATTTGTAGGACTTCCTTCTCTTCTACTTTGTAAACTCAGAGTGCTGGGTACCAGGAACAATGTTGTGTTCTGTTCCTCAGCATATAAATATTAAACAACCTAACATAAAAGTCTCCAGGAGTTTAACCCCAGCAGTTGCCATCTTCCCGGGGACATACAAACAGCCACACGTGATGTACGTCACAGGAGAAGACAGAGCTTCGTTCTTATCCTGTGTCCAGGTCAGAGCCTGAAGTCACAGGCTTCCTCCTGACAGGTGCCAAGTGGGGTGATGCAGTAGTTCCTGAGGTACAGTGAGAAACTCAAGGGCCCCTATCCCCATCTGGGAAGGATGAAGAACAGGGATCACATGATAAGGACATAAATCACTGTACCAGAGACACTTCCATAACTACATTTCCCCTTTACTAAGGCAACTGCTCTTAGGAAGGAGCATAGTTTATTATGACTTTTTTTTATCTTCAAAACTTTCAGAATAAGATGCAATGTGCTGTCTATATCTATTATTCAAGTACCTCTCGTACGCCATGTTTATAAGTGCACTCTGATGCTATTAAGAAGTAAACCATGCATAACAGATTTTAAAGCACTTTTCAGAAAATAGTCTCGTACTTGAATTTTCTTATCCATGAAATAGGTGAGTTGTCAACAGGTCACTGGTCACCTTCATTACAAAGATGCTTTTGTTGCAATGGTCAACAGTGAAATAAGGTTCAACTTATATTTCTACTTATACTTCACTCCTTCTACATCTCCAAAAGTACAGTAGCATTGGAGAGGTGACAGGGAATGAGAGAGACAGTGTCAACACCAGTTTGCTCATCTTATAACTCTGCTGTCAGCCCACCTGTGAACCATCACCCCTCTGACACCACATACGATGTGGCTTCTCCCTTCAGCAAACAGAAAGGGAGAAGACAAAGAAGAAATAAACCACTATGTATTGAGCATCTGCTATGCACTAGGAGCTTTTAATCCCCATTGCAAACTTCTGAAGTAATAGACGTGAGCCCCACGTTGCAGATGAGAACATCATCAGTGCAGGTCTCAGTATTTTAAGTCACAGGTCGGACTGTAAAATGCATGATTTCCCACCACACAGCACTGCCTGGGGGAGCACCTGTCCTCAGGCCCCTGGAGGGGCAGCACAGGAACAGAGGGGCGGCTGGGAGGGGCCTTTCTCCCACCACATTCTATACAGGTCCATTAGGGCTGACATGCTCCTCATTTGGAGGGATGAGCACTGGACTGGGAATCAGAGGCTGTGTAACCTCATTGCAGCTCGGCCACCTACGGGTGATGGAAACTTGGGTAAATCGTGTGAACAACCAGGGGTAGTTTCTCCTCTAGACCTAGATGCTTTCAGCTCTGCCACTCAATAATCTATGAAGGTACCACATTCCAAATCATGCATTCTCAAAAGTGCCAAGCCACCTGCATCATCGAAAACATGAAGTACCTCCTGGAACCTAACCTTTAAGAGGAGGGCAAATGAGACCAGCTGCTGATGAGTCCATGGGGAGAGTTCCTGGGGTCAAGCCACTTGCTTTGGTGCCACCTGAGGCTGAGGCTTTTGGGTTCAGTCCTCTCCCCGATCCCTCAGCATCGCCCTGCGATGGACCGGAAATGCTAACCTCAAAATGTGCACTTTACAGGGTTTTCAAGGCATAAGCCAAAGAGAAATGACATGACAGAAAATGTCCTAGGTTGTGCATCAAGAGGCAGAGACTCTAGGGTCAGCTCTGCCAGCTACCTGCTAAATACGAGGCATGGCATCTGGTTCGCTCTGAGCTCGGTCCTCATTACTGCCTTTCGTGAGCTGGATTCAAACCTCAGGTCTTTCACAGTGACAGCACCCCGCGCCACAAAGGTAATGACCCCAATTCCCACCGCGGCAGGTGTCTATGCATAGAGAAAAGAGTATAAAATCAGTTTATCAATCCTCATCTAAGATTCTTTGAGGATTATTAAAAATGAAGCCAAAAAATCTAAAATGAGAAAGAAAAAAAACAAACCCTACAGTATGTTTAAACAATAGCATTTCTTTGGAAAAATCAAGAAATTGCCTGTACTGGTAACTTATTATTGATATTCTTGTTCTCCTTTTTACTTTGAGGTTATGTAAAATACCCAGGCAGAAATGGAAGCGTAACAGTAAGCCAGATGCCGAGGGCAATTAACCCTGCTCTCACCGTGCGAACAGCTCACTGAATATGTCACCAAAGGGTAGGGCGACCCCAGTTTAACACTGTGGTTATAATGCAAGCTCCCAGAGTCACACACTCAAAGCAGAACAAGCTTCCTTAAGGCGACCAGTCACATTTCCCTTGTAAAGGTGATACCAGACTGCGCCTTACTCCAAAGAGGCCTAGAAGATTAATGGCAAAGTTAACATAACAAAGCTGTTTCATCCGAGCCGGAGGTGTCCCTGAGCAGTCTGAGCTGAACCACGGCAGAAAAGATTATATCAGACTAAAAATATCAGCAACCTTGATGAAATGAACCGAAAGGATTTAGAATATTCCAAGGGCAGTATGCCAAGATCACGTGAAACATCCATTTAATTTCCTGTGCCTCTGGGACTCCTAACCAGACCCCCACTGGGGATGAACGATACACAGCGTGCTCCGATGTCTCTTTTCCTCTATTCCAACTCGTGCACTGACATGATTATTTGAGTCCCCAAAGTCTGCCAGAAAAACAGACATCCCTAATCAGCATGTTCAAATTACTTCCTTCAAGAGCACGCCCTGGAAACAGCTCTGCCGATAAGGTAGGAGCCATCGGACCACACGCCACCACTATGGCTCCTCATCCGGGACCTTAGAGCTACACGATTAAAGCACACACCTGAGCTTTGGGAGCCCTCGCCCTTGCCCCTATAGCTGGGACTACTGTTGGAGTTTCAGAGGTGAGGAATAGGCCCAGAGAAGAAAAGAAGAGAGAATTAAACAAAGGTCACACACACTGACACCCCCAGACCCCCACTCTGATGCAGAGATCAGCCCCGGGCCAGCCTCTGAAGACTGCCTGTCTATTCCCTCTTCCAATGAATTTCCATGGAAGTTCCATTCCACACGAGTCAAGCCCCCCACCTCTGCCCAATCAAGAGCCAGGGCCAACATCGGGAAGACAGACATAAACAGCCTGCAGTGCTACGTCAGAAACATAGGTTCTGGGACCTGCCACCTTTTGTCTCTGTCCCAGTGAGGACTGCGGGCTCTGACTACAGACCTTATCATCCAGCTGTCTGTAGAGGCTGGAGAGCTCCTGGTCGTACTTCTCCTTCTCCTCCGCAGAGATGCCGGCGACCGCGTCAACCACGGGCGCGATATTGTCGATGATGGGGGTGTTATCACAGGGCTCCAGGGTCTTCTGGTCCTTAGCACTGATCTGCTCATCCTCAGGCACAGCTTCTCCTGCAAAACACAGCCGAGGGCGCTGGGGATGAAGAAATTCAGCAGGCACTGCTCCAGGAGGAGTTCCAAAAACGGTCCCTCCCATGGAAAAGACAGGGAGGACACAATGAAGAGCTGCTCCGGAGAGTTATAGTTTGTGTTCTTTCTATTTAACAAGAAAGGTCACAGTTAATTGACCAAAACTGGTTCTATCAACCACACAAGCTCTTAACTAACCCAACTTGTAGGGAGGCCCAGAGTTTTCGGCATACATTTTCCTTTTGAGGAATGTGCTGGAGCTTTACTAGAGTCACATGCTCTCTGGTGACTGATTCAAAGGGAAACAAACCTCTCAGGCATCCTAATTACCAATTCATTAGGTTACTATTTCATTAATGGAAACAACCACATCAAGGAACAAATTCGCCATTGTTTAAAAGAACTCTGCACGGCCCAAATCCTCTGAATTTGAGCTCTCTGAATCCACAGCAGGAGGCCAGGGAGCTGTGCACCCGGGAACCCTAGTGGCCCTGCACAGCCACAGTCCACTATCAGCCACTCCCTCCGGCAGGAGGCCAGGGAGCCGTGGGCCCGGGAACCCTAGTGGCCCTACACAATCAAATTCCACTAATTGGCTCTCCTGGAAAGTTCAAATAGAATAATTTCCTGTGCTGTCAGTTCGTCCCAGGAAAGAAAAAGCAACCAATCTAGAACATCATGCCGGGACCTTACACACCATTTCTCAGCCTGCGGAGTAGTGCTGTTGGGCTTTCAAATAAAGCATTACCAAGTCTGACCACGCAAACTGAGGAAAATGGTGAAGTTTTCAAACTGGCCAGTGGCTATGCCCAGGAAAATCACCTTGCATAGACAGGCTACATAAAAAGGATTCTGTGAAAACCATGTGGCCCAACTGCGTCTCTCAGATGTCTTCTTGGAAAGCAAACCAAAACCAACCAGACTTTCCCCATCACAATGTTTACCATCAACTTCACACTCAGTTTGCTACAATCAGGGAGTATCTGCAATGTTCCAAGGCTCCCTCCACTTAGCCCATAAAATTTTGTGGAAATTCCCCAGGAAAACTGCTCTGAGCCAGAAGAAAGTTCTAAAAAAAAAAACAAAACAAAAAAAGAAACCTGACAAAACTGAGATCCTAATCTTTGTTCACAATCTATACCATGCCTCAAGGAACCCACCTGAACACTGTATACATTTATCGCAATATAAACAAAACACTTTGTGATGGGTTAGTTTTGCTGCTTACTATTCCATTATCAAAGTTGATCATTACAAATGGCCTTCGTGTGAAAAAAAATTAACACCAATGATTTCACTTTTGTATCACAGTTGTTTCAAGCAGCAACTTGAAGCAAAACCTGGAATAAACTATTACTTTGTTGAATGTAAAACTCATCCAACCTTTTTTTTCTTCTAAAGCTCAGCCAGACTGTACTGTACCCAAACCTTTTTCTAAAATTATTGACATGAAACTCTGAACTGTTCAGAATATCTGAACTGAACCTGAACCAAATCAATATTTCATTCAGTTTCAATTCCTGGTTTAAAACATCCATCAACCACCTTAGTGTGCAGATAGAATTTCCCCCAATTAAAGAACTTATCTTCTCTACAGCCTGCTAAATCCCCGGGCCATAAAAGCAGTACCATGATCTAGTTCTTAGGAACATTTCTTATTTTGTTTAAAAAAGATATATACAACTACACACACACACACACACACACACACACACACACACACACACCTTTCTCTAACCATAGAGTATACACAAAACTTGAAATTCCTCCCTCAACCCTACCTTCCAATTCTGTTCCTTCTCCAGACAATTCACCACTAATACTTTGGTAAATGTCCTTTCCCTGCTTGGATCACGATCGTCTCCCTAATTTTTCAGTTTTAGCTTACAATGTCTATGAACATGGCAATCTAGTGAGGTATGAATTTGACCATCCAGCTTAAGCATAATGGTAAAATTCTTAACTGCTCTAGACCACAAACCAGCCGGATTATGGTCATATTACCCATAGGCCAACTCACCCCAAGTCCAGAAGTAAAATACAGAAACATCTGGAAGAGCTATATCCCTGTGTCCTTCGGTTCCCAATGGCCAGAGAGGCTGTGATATCATAAGACTGGTGTGGGCTAAGGAGCTAGCCAGTGTGTGTTTCGATGCATCTGGGCAGGCAGGAGCCAGGAACGAAACCCCATAACCTAGCAGCAAATCATTTGCTCTAACCAAAGTCACAGGTTTCACTCCCCTAGAGCCGCTCTCTTCTCCCACTGAGGAATTACGGCAGCACCACGTACCAGGGCTGCCCCAGACTGCGGAGGTTCAACAAGGCACCCTAAAATGTGACCAGCCGACTGCATAACCTCTATGGCAGGACTCCTTCCTTGTACAGAGCTAATGACTCCCAAGCCCATCTCCGGAGAGGAAATAATAATGCCTTAAATACAGCATAGTTCTAAAGAGTAATTAAAATAGCATATGTAAAAAACACAGAAGGTATTATTGTTTCAAGTCCATCTCTTAACCCCTCCTCTCGCTGATAAACTGTCAACTTTTTTAAGCTGTGCAGTTAAATTAGTATTTTGACTTATTCTGAGATTACTATTTTTGGGGTTTTCACAATATCTTTGTGGTTAGAGCTCATTTCCAAAAATAAAACAAAATAATCTATGCAAGCCCCTTTCACGTTTACTTTTATTGTTACTATTATTATTAAAACAGTATTTGGAATGTACAGCAGACTTTCTGATTTCTCTTGAAGAATTCTCCGCATCAAAGCATCAACACGTCCCGCACAAAGCTGCATCTGCACGAGGAGCCTCCCGGCTTACATCCCAAGGTCAGGCAGTCGGGGTTATTGTTTGCAGCGGCCGCTCAGGCCGAGAAGAACCACACGGGAACGAAGCAGCAGGCATCTGCGGGACAGCCCGGCTCCTGCCCAGAGAGGAACCTGGAGCCGGTTCCCCAAACACCGCTGCCCTTCAGAGGACCGAGAAAATGACTTCCAGAGGCATCCCTGGTAACCTCACTGTCCAGCTCACGAACACGCCCGGGGATTGTAAATTCCCAACACTGTGCACGACCTGACACTAGGCAGTCTGTCTCCATGGCGATCTCACCACTGTAATGGAGAATATTCCCGGCACTGCAGAATGTCTCCTGAGAAGCCCCATGAGGTGATTACGGAGTAACTGATTGTAACAAGGAAGACAGCTGCGAACAAACCCGGAGAAACAATGTCCTAACATCTGGTGACAGGAGAACAGGAAAGGATTACCAAAGGAAGATTAGCATCCATTTTTACTTTCATTCTCCTTCTTTGCCTTAAAAGCAAATTTCTCTCAGTTTATCCCCTAAGGCTTTATACCTGCTATCTACAGGGAATGGGCAGAGCGGATGACACTGCAAAGCATCTGGTTTTTTAGAATGAAAGCATCCCCCAACTAGAACCCTTCCCTCTTTCAACAAGCATTCTGGCATCTCCTGTTGTCAGTTGTAATTACTTTTAAGGCCTAAAAAGATTTGTGTGTACACAGGAGCATTGACTTGGAGCATACCTATAAGGTTTGCAGAGCATTTTAATTATAAAATGAAAACCCCCAGAGGGCATAAATAACATTTCTACAAAAAAGCAGAAATCCATCAATTGCAATAAACAAGAATGACAGACTAATAAAAAATTCTTGTTAGGCCTATTAGTTAAAAACTCTGACACAGGCTTTTCAGTTTTGTATTTATGCAAGAGGGAGAGAGAGAACCATTAGACTGCCACTAATTCATTAAAATTTCACACATGAAATGGCCACAAGCTCGTTATCCTTTTCAAAGGCTGAGTCCCCGAAGCCTCTGACACAGAAAGGTAGCTGCGCTCTCTCCCTGCCACTCCAGGGCCCAGACCTGCCGGTCACTCGCAGCTCCGCCAGAAACCACAGCAGGCCTGGCGGAGGGGTGCTTTCTTTCCATTCCAATGAAACAGGCCCAATGGCAGACCTAATGGAAGGTCATTTCTATATCAAAGAAGCTGAAAGGAAATCCTTAAGTTGCCAGATGGGTAAGAGCAGCTGGCTACAAGATGTCATTATATAAATGTCAGGTTGAAAAAAAAAAAATCATTCCTTTATGGGATTATTTTGCACACAAATAGCTTCTTTCACCCTCGTTCCTAAAAACATTGTAAGCAGCTTAAGACATTCTCTAATCCCTTCTAGAGCAATCTTCTAGCACACGGGCCACCCAGGACTCCACACCCTCTTTACGTCCCCGACTTCTTGAGCAGGCCACAGGCCACAGCCCACGGGCCACAGCCCACAGGCCACAGGCCACACTGTCCTCCCAGTGGTCAGGGTTTGTGTCCGTGTTTGCTTGTGCTCTCGAGAGAAGCAAGAGGGCCTAACAAATCAGAGCTCTCGAATGAAATGTAACTTCGGAGTATCTACTGTGATAATCATAAATCCAAGAGGGACCGGCATCATCTACATATTTATGCTAAAGGAGCAAATCATGCTCCAACCGAGGGGGCCGCACCGTTCCAAAGCCCCAATCAGACCCAAGGTTACAGATTTAGCTTGTTAGGGGACCAAGCCTGCTGGCCTGGCAGGTTTTAAATCTGGAAAACAAATCTGCCCGAGAGACTGCCGATGTTTCCTTGCCTTCTCAGCCTGTGATGAAATCATTTTTTGCATGACTTCAGCAGATGGGGTGAATCGACATCTGCTCTGTTGTTTAACATTCTCCTTCTTCCAGAGACACTGCAGCGATGCCATGTTCTCAGGGCATTTCCCTGCCCTCCTGAAACCTGGATTTCCAGGGCCTCCTTTTCTGACATAAGCCCCTAATTTATCATTTTTCAAAGGGCAAAATTCAAAGACGTGTCAGAGAAGAGGGCCTGGGTGAGGACTCGCCTGGCCACGACGGGGAACTAGACACCCACACAACCCTCTTGGGCATCATGCCCCTGACCTTCAACCCTCCCTCCCCTACTGCGTAGCCTTCCTGCCGGACTGGGGGCAGTGAGAGCCGTAATTCACACTGACCCCAACTACCTAAATCTATCTCCATTTCTAGGATTGTTCGAATCCTTTCCATACATAAGATCAATAAGAAACACGACTGGAAAAATAAAGTCTTATTCCTGACAACTGCCCACTCTAGCTACCTGTCCCTGAGTAAGCAGGCCGAACAGATCTCCATGAGGCTAAAGTTGCCAATAGAGCCTCCGATACAAAGGAAGACTCAGGAGGTTTCAGCCCACCAGATGTCACCAGCAGACAGTGGTGGACGTGTGCTGTTTCCCAGCCACTCAACACCCGAGAACAAAAGCGCCTCCACTCCCTCGTGAGGAATGAGCCCCCTCCACGGAGGGCGGTCTGCGTCCAACACTCGGAGCGTGTCCTGTCCTTCCCCAGCCGGAGCCCAGCACCCAGCGCTCTCTCCCTTCTCTCTTGGGCCTCTGGGTCTCCGACACACAGCAAAGATGAGACGGGCACTCCCGGGGATTCGCCCCCTGTGCCCTGCACAACCCTGCCGGTTCTCTCCCAGCGCCTGGGTCTCTGAAGCAGCCTCGCTCCACTGCTGAGACTAGTTCCTCGGCTGTTCTCTGGCTCTAGGAATCATTCCTACTCTCCTGACGCCTCCCCTTTCTGTGACGCCAGGCAGGGTCCATTCCTGCCACTTGCAACCCAAGGACCCCCCCTGGCACAGTGGGGAATGAAACCAGGAGAGTGGGTGGCTCTGCTCATTCCCTCTTTATAAAATCAAGGTGTGGCCTCCCCGAAGCCGCCACGCACGTGCCCTGAGCATGGCCCTGATGGCACGGCTGAAACGGACTACGGCTTGGTGCGGCACACACATTCTGAGCGACAGTGTGTTCTGAGAATCCATGCTCTACTCTGCACGGGGCAGGAAACTGCCAGGCTCGCAGTCTGAAGTGGCCCGTTGCGGTGTGAGGGGTTGAGGAGGGATGGGGCGGGGGTGGGGAGCAGCCTACAGGCATGTCACAGGATAGTATTTCTCAACGTTTGAATGACTTTGTACAGGGAATGCTCGCTCTCTCCTGTGGCACAGTCGGTCTCAGGCTGTACCCTACACACCTCCCTTCACTTACTTCCGCCACCTGCCTGGACACGGCGTGCTGTCCGGGCCTCGCACTGTTTTACCTTTCCCACCCCGTGCCCTACCTCGTTCCACAGAAAGCCCCGGCATGCACACGCGCACGCTGTGTTCTGCTCCGGGCCATCTCCCTCACCTTCCTGAAGCGGGAGGACAGCAGGGCTGCCCTACTGTTAAATTATAAATGCACCACGCAAGGAGAGACATCTTTCCCAGGGAAGCGCGCATACTATTGACAATGCTCTTTTAACTTGTTCAGACCACAGTGTGGAGCCATCGATACCAGGAATCGCTGAGGGGAACTAAGAGGCTGCCTCCCACAAGCTGAGAACCAACGTGTGTGTCAAATTTCAAAAGAACGTTGGAACTGCCCTGTCACTTGGACGTTAGTGGAAGGCACTCCACCTTTCAAAACCCCCGTTCTCTAGCTGACACAGACCAGCCATGACCTCATGACTCCGAGGACTTGGAACTGCTGCACGGACACCACTGGACACCCTCCTTTTCTGCTCTGGTCCCATCTACGCGCCTCAAACACAGACCACTAGGCCCACGGGCAGGCTGTGCAGACTAGGAACAGGGAATGAACTCAGGAGTCAAGCTCCCTCTGATCCCAGCTCTCCCAGGGACTCAGGCACCTCAGGCAAGTCTTCCAACCTGGCAAAACCACAACAAGGGCTACCTGAGGGTTAGACACCCAGCCTAGGAGTATAACCAAAAGCCTGGGGGGGTTGCAGTATGTATGGTGTACATAGTTAATCCTTGAGACACACCTTCACTCACAGCTGGACGATGGACTACTCCACCGGCCTGAAATTTGTATCGCTGGAGTCGGTTTTCCATATTCAAGAACTTTTGCTTCCAGAAAAATCACCTTTCAAATGTAAATGCTAGCCCAGCTGGTGTGGCTCAAGGGTTGAGCATCGACCCATGCACCAAGAGGTCACCGGTTCGATTCCCAGTCAGGGCACATGCCCAGGTTGTGGGTCAAATCTCCAGTGGGGGGACACGCAGGAGGCAGCCAACTGATGTTCTCTCCCTTCGATGTTTCTATCTCATTCTCACTCTCCCTTCCTCTCTCTCTATCTCTAAAATCAATAAAGAAAAAAATTGTCTAATAAAATGCAAACGTTAGCTTGGAAGGACAGGGGGGCTCTGCGGAACTAACTCCCTTCTCCCATCACCGTCCCTCGGTGACCACGTGTTTGGATACGGAGGTGACCACCGCCCACTTCTCTTCCTCCCTATCCTCTCTCTATAGTCCACAGCGGACCTCAACCTACCCATTACTTCCTAAGGATGGATGACACTCAAATTTCTCCCTCTGGTTCAGGGAGCTCTTCTCGGCTCCAGACCCGCAGACCTGACTTAGTTGACATTTTTACCTGGCATGTCCCACAGGCACCCAGTCTTGTCTCCCTTGTCTCAATCTGGCTCCTCCATGGCTCCGTCTCTGTCTCCGGGCATCACCCTGCCCTGCACCCCGCTCGGCCACAGAAGCTCCCACACGCTTTCCCGTAGCCACTCTCCACCAGCAGTGCGATTTCACCTCCCAGACAGATACTCTCTCTCCAATGTCGTCTCGGTTCCGCCACTGAAATCTCACCCCTGGATGACCACTTCAGTTCCTGGCCTTCCTCCTACCCTCTCCAGTCCATTCTCCAACGTAATCAATGTTCAAAACAGCGAGTCTTACCGTATTATCTGCAGCTTAATATCCTTAAATGGCTTCTCACCGCTTCCAAGATAATGACCAAAATCCTGACACGGACTGCACAGCCCTGCACAGGACCAGTCTGCCGACCGCTCCGGCCCAGCTCAAGCCAATGCTCCCCACCTCAGCTCTCCACACTGGCCTTCCTGCCCCGCCCTCAGGGACACAGCACACCTGGCCGCCTCCAGCCCACCCTGACTCCACTGAGCACCTCCTATTTCACCTGCTGACTGCTGTTTCTCTCGGATCAGACGCCTATGTCGCTGATTGGGGGAAGCTTCACTGACTTCTCGGTCAAAGCTGATACTTCCCCCTCCTGGCACGGAGGGCCATCACACGTTTATTGGTGCTGGCTGGCGCCTACCTCCCCCATCAGACTGTAAGCTCATGAAGGCGGAGACCACGTCCCACAGCTCGTCCTTTAACCTCCAACACTGCATTATGCTTACTTGCATACATTTATAAAAGTCCATCATGTGCCAGAAATCAACCATCCATTAGTTTCCCCAAATTATGGAACTTTGAGGGCGTACGTGGGATCTCATCCCATAGGGCCTGGACAACAGTAAATTCCTGAGCAGATTTGCAAGGTAGTGGGACAAACTGTTAAAGCGATGCCAAGTGCAAAGTCCAAGCGCAGGAGAGAGTGCCCACAGAGATGCGAGGCCCAAGGTGAGCCAGGCAAACAGGGCAGTGGGCAGAGCCAGAGGACAGCCGGTGGAGGGGTGGAAACTGAAAGGTTAGAGCTTAGCAAGGGGCAGGACAGAACAAAAAAAAACAAGGTGAGTTGTCCACTCCACAGTATTTCCAAGGCCAGTGCCCCCTTCCTTTACCAAGAGGCTTCACTGAATGTTCCCGTGCCCAGCAGAGAACTGACCCAAGAGGAGCCCAGAAATAGAACAGCATTTCAGATGGCCGCTCCCTGCTTTGCCAGCACCCTCCCCCTCTCCTACGCCTGCCAACTCACAAGGAATCATCCACCAGCTCCAGGTGCTGAATTAGTCAGTTATTCTAGCAGCTTTCAAAACACATATGCAGCTAGAAAGTCTCTCAAAAAGAAAAGAATCATGTTATTTAGGCTACTAGGTCATTTCTTGAACCTCCCTTGAACCCGGGTTTGCCACGTAATTGCTTTTCAATTGAACAGCCGTAGCTCATTGACACCCCACCCCTGTAGCAGAAGCAGTGGCAAACATATAATCACAACCCGATCTGCTACCTGCAGCTACGAACAGGAGGCTCACCTCCCGTCCTGCGCGGCAGCCCCGGTCCTAGACTTACCCGACGAGGTCTGCCGCACCGCCCGCAACGAGCCTCAACAGCACAGCAGCGGAGTCGAGAACTACCTCCAACCATCCACGATCCCTACGTACACCGACCTGCCTTACTGCAGTTTAAAAAATTAAAAAGAGTGCTACCTTCCAACTTCCATCACAATGCTAACATTTCCGTGGAAATAAACAGCCTGCACTTAGATCTGGAAAACCCTCTTCAACGCCTCACCCACCACCCACCCACCCACCCCGTCAGCTCGCTGAGATATTTTCTTCGAGTAGAACAAACCAAAGGAATGTTTTGGGGAAAAAGAAAAACCAGTCACGAAACAAGCCTTTAAGACTCAACCTTGGTACCAGGCCTCCTCAGGAGCCTCTATTTCTGGCTCTGGAGAAGCGTGAAGGCGAGACAGGGGGAAAGCAAACAGCAGATATTTACCAGAGGTGACTTTAACCTCAAATCAGTTACAGAATTCCCACAGGAGAGAAGGACATTTCTCATCTACGAAAGCAATTTGAACGACAAAGCCCCAGGCACTGCCCTGTGACCCTCAGAAACGGCTTCGAGAGAGCGGATTACAGGAACAGATAGAGGGGCACCTCCTTGGAAATACGGTAGGGCAGCCTTGCAGACAGTCACCTGCCCACACTAGGCATGCGCGTCAGCCGAGGGATGGGGGCGGGGAGCCATGCCGGGACCCAGAGCACATCTGCTGCTCCCTCCGGCCGTCACAAGCAGGGCCATTCCCCCCCCCCCCCCAACTGTCCCGGACCGAGCGCTGCGGAAGACAGAGCACACACGCCCCCCTCCACTCTTCCTCACCGTTTCTCCACCTGTGGAGCTCCATCTCCAGGTGCTGGATAACATTCTTCAGAGTCTTGTTTTTCTCTTTCTCTTTTTCATATTTCTTCTTCCATTCTTCCGCTGTCAGTTCCAGGTTCACGGAGACGGTGTTCTTGATGGTCTTGGCCCTGGGGTTAGAAGCACGAGGAAAGACGGCAAGCACGGCTGTGAGCATCGAAAGACTGGAAGTGGGGAGCAGGAGGGCCCGGGACCGGCACCTACCACCCTTTACCCGGCTGTCAATGGCACGGCTTCCTCCCAAGGCCCCAAACTCACCTTTTCCTTGTCTCCTTCGCCTCCTGGCAGTCTCTGAATCCAGTGGACAGTCATGCCAACTGTCTCTCAGGGTCACCTCCTTCTCTATTCCCTGTCTCCAACCTGATCTGTGTTCTCAGCCCTGACTTGTGGTTATAGCCCCTTTCAAATATTCAGTGCTGTCCTTTAAACATCACACCACTGCCAGGTTCCTCTTCCTTAATCGACTTTCCTTTCAATTCCAGTAACGTTTATGAAACACGGCATACACCAAGACAGATGAGACAAGGTCCCTGGCCTCCTGGAGCTCGCTGTTTCTCCCACCAGTATCGCACACATGGAAAGATAGACTCCACTGTTTCTCTTACTCACACCACCTGGAGGTCCTCCCGACCTGCTGAACACATGCGCACACGGGCCTCCCGGCCAGCGGGCCAGCGGACTGAGCGGCGGGAGGGTGAGACCGTGGGCTGCGCTCAGCACACGCTCCCTCACAGCCAGTGTGTGCCACGGGGAACGGGGGCCACTGCTCTTGGGCATCCAAGTTTCCAAGAAAAGCCAGCAATCAAGATTTGTATGTGTGCCTCTCAGTTTATAACAAATCTTCAAAATAATGTGTGAGACAAACAAACATGTCTAAAAGCCATCAATTTGCCATTTCTCCCATAGAGATAGAGTGACCTCCTAGGGCACATGGCTGGGGTGGGGTGGGGGTGCCACCACGGCGGATGCTGGGACAGTACCCCAAGGGAGCAGGGGTAAGAGCGAAGGCTCTGGCTCACACTAAAAACCACGTGTAAAAATGAACACGTCTAATCAAAAAGTCAACTGGCCATGGCAGGATTCCACTTACCGCTCACTTTTTAAGCAGGTAAAAACACCATTTAGAAGTATGTGATAGCCTGTTTCATTTGCTATAGACTTTTTCACTTTAAACGCCCACTAGTTCTTGTCATATTTGCCAGCACTACCTGATATGTGATTCAGGTTAATTACTGTTGTCATCAAATGACACCGTGGACAGGATTTCTACTCCAGTGACAGAAATTCCGCAGCCCGCACCAGCGCTGCCGGTGGCATTCCAAAATTAATTCCTAAAGCAGACAACTAAATAACCCAACTGTCAAAGGAGGAGTTAAGCGATTTCAACGGGAGACTCCCCTTAAGCAGCAGAATAATTCGCCCTCGTTCCCTGTAGCTGGAGGCTGCGGTCCCCAGTAGTGATGCAACTAGTTGTTCAAGCAGCAGCAGTTTTGTCACTGCTTTAAAGGCTGTGCCGGGCCGACCCCCACCTCGCCCCTGACGTCCTCGGTGCCGTGGCCGCTCCCAGGGTCACGCAGACACCACAGCCGCTCTGGACGCGTGAGTCAGAAAGTGGAGAACAGCCTGTGGCTAAAAATGCATGTGGACCTTTCAGGGTACACTTTGAGGCTGCTAACCTTACTTTTTACATCAGAGTCTCTTGACGGTTTCTAATGACACTAGAAAGAGAGGAAGAGCCTCTCGGCGACACTCAGGCAGGCTTAGCCGGAAGTGCACTTTCCTGGGCCGACGCGGCGGGTTATCACGATGTAACTGCTCTTCATTTTCGACGTTCATTTAAGCTGTCCTGGAAATTTTTTTTTTTTAATCCTCACCCGAGGACATTTTTCCATTTTTTGTACAGATAGAGTGGGAGAGAGAGAGAGGAAGGGAGAGAAAGAGAGAGAGAAACATCGACGTGAAGGGACACATCGAGTGGCTGCCACCCGCACGACCAACCAGGGCCGGGGACAAATTGCAACCGAGGTACGTGCCCTTAGCGGGAACCGAACCCGGGTCTCTCTGTACCGCAGGCCGACGCTCTAACCGCTGAGCCAAACTGGCCAGGGCTGGAATTATTTTTCTTCCACTTCTGTAGTAATCAGGGTCCTGGCAAGAATCACACGGCCCACGCCAATTGCAGGCTTTGGGAAGAGTTTGACAAAGGTATGGGCACAGTGATGAGAAAGAACAAGAGACGAGTCATACCCCACCTTAGGTATGGGGGAGCCATTACCACCCTTCGGCTGAATGGGGCCCCGAGGGAGGGAGCTGTGACAGCCTTTAGTCTAGGGACACAGTCACCCAAAGTGACCCTGCAGGGAAAGAGCCAAGAGACCTCACTCTCTTCCCCCCTTCTGACTGCCCGCCATGTTCCTTCCCCACTGCTGACACTGAACTGGAAGCCGGGGGCAAGGGAACCGTTGTATTTGTCCCGCTGGTCACTGGCCCTGGCCCAGAGCAGAGAGGGCACAGAAACAGTCCAGAGGCGCGGAGGGGAGATACACACTCCAACGCCTTTGTGGAACCCAGAGCGGTGGTGGGAAACCAGGGCTCAGGCCACTGCCCTAGATTTCACCCACACCCCTCTAGCCATGACAGGCAGACTATGAAGAAATCAGACAACATCAAGAGGGAAAGATGTTACTGCTCCTAAAATTGTTCTATAGATTTGAAATAGTCTCAAATAAAACCCCAGGAGGTGTGAATGGGGGTACAGAAATTGATAAGCTGATTCTGAAACTTATGAGAAATGAAAAAAGAAGAGCAGAGAGAATTCTGAAGAGCAAAGTTAGAGAACGGAATACCAACACATATTATAAAATCACACCAATGAAAATCGATTCCAGAAACATGCCGACGACACGGTCATCTGACTTACAACAAGGCGCCCATGAGTCCAGTAGGTCAGGGTGGTCCTTTTCAATACACGGTACTGGGTAGACTGACGACTCCCCCAATATCCACTCCCCCAAATTCATATAGAAGTCCCATTCAGGAAGGTAAAACAAAAAAGCCTCTAGAAGAAAACCGGAGACTATCTTCTTCAAAACACTGAATAAGCAAAGATTTCTTAAATAGGACGTAAAAGAAAAGATGAACCTGACTTCGTTAAAATTTACAAAACCCCTCTTCATTAAAAGTCAACATTAAAAAGGTAAAATGTAAGTCACAAAGTGGGAGAAGTTATACACAATGCAGAAAAGGACTTTACCAGAATAACCCATATAAATCAATAAGAAAAAAGCAAACAAGCAGTGAAAAAACTGGGCAAAGATTTGAATAGGTACGTCACAAAAAAAGTGGCATAAACACTCAAAAACGGAGGTACTTAACATCATTAGCCATCAGGGAAATGCAAAATAAAACAACAATAATATGCCTTTACACCCCCAATAGAATGGCTAAAACTTTTTAAACTGATGACACCAAGTGCTGGTGAGGATGTGCAGAGACTGTAACATTCAATTGCTACGGGAGGGAGTGTAAATTATTCCAGGCTTTTGAAAAACTCCTTGATAGTATCTGCTAAAGCTGAATATCTCATATCCTGTGAGCTAGCTATTCTCATAAGGATGACATTTGTTCACCTAAAAATATGACAACAAGTATCGTAGTAGCTTAATTTATAATAGCCTCAAAACGAAAACAAATCAAACTCCATCAAAAGCAGAATGGATATGTATGTGCTTGCTATATTCATACAACAGAAAACTATATCTCTTTAAAAACTACTACAACACCTAACAAGGTAGGGAATTTCAAAGATACAATGTTGTATAAAAGATGCTAGATACAAAACATTATTGAATTATTTTATTTATATAAAATTCAAAAATCAGCAACAGTAATTTAGGTTGAAAGAAGTCGGTATGACACCCTTGAGTGTTGGGTTTTGACTGGAAGGGTGCAAAAGAGAGGTTTCTAAGATGTTAGGTGGTGGTTCATTCGTATGCAAACTTGTACAGATGGGTTGAGTTGCACACAAATGTATGCATTTTACTATGTGTATGTTATATTCAATAAAAAATAAGTTAAAAGCCCTGGCCAGTTTGGCTCAGCGGTTAGAGCGTCGGCCTGCGGTCCGGAGAGACCCGGGTTCGGTTCCTGCTAAGGGCACGTACTTCGGTTGCAGTTTGTCCCCGGCCCTGGTTGGTCGTGCGGGTGGCAGCCACTCGATGTGTCCCTTCACGTCGATGTTTCTCACTCTCTCTCCCTTCCTCTCTCTCCCTCCCACTCTATCTGTACAAAAAATGGAAAAATATCCTCAGGTGAGGATAAAAAATAAAAATAAAAATAAAAAAATAAGTTAAAAAATAACCCAGTCAGATACAAGAGGGAAACTGAATTTCTATGTCTGGAATTACTTTTTTAAATAGAACAAATACTCTAATCTAGAATCTTGAAACAACCTTACAAAGTAGAATAGGAGTGTCTCAGTCTCTTATTCCTAGATTTAAGAGACCTAGATTAAAAGGATGTTGAACATCTATAATCTCTGTTTCTGTTAACCATAAACTTCAGGAAAATTTACAGAGTAAGGAGCCTAATAATCAGGTTTTATCTAATTCCATCTTGTGTAAAGTTTACCACCAGTATGGGTTAGGTAGTAAATTGCTCTTTTTTGGCTCTGTCCACTTTAGAGCATATCCAAGTGTCTTCCAGCTTTCAAACTCTTTGCTCATTTATTTTGGTAACTGTCACAGTTACAAGTGACTACACTTGCTAGCTGTACTCACACTAAACAGCCTCATTGTGGACCCTGTTCAAACAGTGAACCCACATGAATCAGGGGCCCGCACAACTGCACGTGGACAGTTCAGGGACTTGTGAGCACACACACGTGCACTTTGCTCATCCTTGATTCCAAAAGAATTTGAGGCTTACAAGGAAACAAAATGGACAGGAAAGCAGAAATTAAGAAATGGCCCTGGCCGGCTTGGCTCAGCGGTTGGAGCGTCCGCCTGCGGTCCGGAGAGACCCGTGTTCGGTTCCCGCTAAGGGCATGTACCTCGGTTGCAGTTTGTCCCTGGCCCTGGTTGGTCGTGCGGGTGGCAGCCACTCGATGTGT